GTTTCTCTGCAGAAACCATCTCCTCCTTTCATGTGTCTGGAAGGGACAGCTAACTCTCTAGAATGTCATGAGATAGGGGTTATTACGATGTCAGCAATGCAGGATAGACTGAGCCATGAGGATTGTGTCTGTAGATAGAAGCCTGAGTTAGCTGGCTGTGCTGCTGAAGCCTCTATTGCCCCTGGCCCTGCCTGCAGTTTTACCCACAGTTAAGCCTGAAGGATGGAAATAGCTCCCTCCCAAGTTGGAGAGTACACATTCCGCTCCACCTCTGGATCCTCAAAGGCCCAGCACATCCTTCTCACAAGGCAGAGCTGCCCCCAACACCAGGGTTTGAGGCAGTTGATGTTTCTTTCCAGGAAGCTGCCTGGACCACCAGGCCACATGGGGAAGGTGACTCAAGGTGAAGATTAGCCAGACACCAGGGTGTCTGCATGGCACCTAGCACGTGAGTCTTCACAGTGCTGTAAGGCAGGGTCGTTACTAGCTCCATGTGACAGATGACGCCAAGAGTCTGAGGTGTGAGAAGGGAGACTCCAACATGTGCCAGGGGCAGAGGACATCAGAGGACATCCATGTCATGTGCCAAGTATCCAAGACTCCATGTTCAAGCTCACCCCCTTGAGCAGCTAACTATACAGACGTCTGGGTAGGATACTGGTCACAGAGGCCCACAAGAGAGCTTGTCTGGAGGATTTAGCTGAGGGTATTCCTGGGGTCTAGAGAGGCCAGTGGGATTTTCACCATGGGACAGCTGGAGATAGGAGAACCCAGGCTCTGTAGGAATTTCCCATCTCCCCCAGACACAGCTCTGAGGCATGTTAAGACTCTACCAATGGCTTAGACTGGATCGAAAGGAAGCCTGAGTGACATGAGGAAAGGTGGGAGCGAAGTGCACCTCCTCAGAGGGCTGAACTTCAGCACAGGGATCAGCAGACCCATCCAGGAGAGGAAGCTGGCTTACAAAGCTGTCAAGGCCAGGGCGGCTTCTCATTAGCACCTGGCTCACACTCTGGGTGAGAAACAGGAAGTGCCATGGCCCTAAACACCAGGACTTGTCCAGCACTGTACTTCCAGCGCCCGGCACTGGGTACATGTTCAGGAGTAATGAATTCAACACTGTGGTCTTGCTGGCCAAGCTTTGGGCACGATCGAGCTGAGCTCACAAACTTCTGCCTAAGCAGCAGAGTTGGGATGGCAGTGAGTAACTTTCCCTGCCGGGCAGGAGAGGTGGGGCAGTGCTGACGGCAGACTCGTGAGCCCAGATGCCATCCTTCCCTGACAGTGCAATCCTAGCCAGGGCTAATACACTCGAGCATCCCATGGGACACAGTAAACACTGACAGATCTGATGATGCCCACGTGATCCTGTGATTACAGTCACCCAGCAGCCTGGCAAGAGCAGCAGACATCTTGCATCAGGAGAAGGGCTCCCAGCTGTCTCTCAGGAACACACTTTCCAAGTGCTGCAAAAGGAGGGAATGTTAGCAACGGCAGGCTTCCTAATGACCCGTGACCATCTCCTGCTACACACAAGGTACTATTAAGATTTTAGAAAAGGGCCGGAGAGAAGGCTCAATGGTTAGGAACTGACTGCTTTTCTGAAAGATCTGAATTCAGTTCCCAGTACCCACACTGAGGAAGTACCATTCTGCCGTCTGCAATTCCAGTTCCGGGGTCCCAATGCCCCTTCCGGCCTCTGTGGCACACATGGAATAATAAAGAGTTGCAGAAGTGGCACCGCTGCACTCTCCACAGTCGCCATGGTTACGCATTCTCTACCAATGCGTCTTCAGCATTCTTCCAGGCCCAGCTTCTTCAGTGATCCCCATCCCCGGTGTCTGCCCTTGCTGACAAGTGAGAACAGGAGGGGCACAAACGTTAGCATCTCACTCTCACCACTCAGGCCACCCATCCCCCAGGCATGCTGACAGATACAATGCCTGTGCTCGGTGGGTGGCAGGCACCTCAGATACAGCAGCCCATTTACCTTCCAGGATGCTGAGAAATCAAAGACCTTGACACTGGAGTCCCTTGACAATTCTCACTCTACTACAGACCCCATACACCTTTTGTTCTTGACCCTGTCAACACTGACTGTCAAAGAAGCCTCAGCAAAACTCACAAGTAAATCAGGCAGAGTGGTGCACACCTTTAATCCCAGCACTTGCCAGGCTGAGGCAAGTGGCTCTCTGAGTTGGAGGCCAGCCTGGTCTACAGAGCAAGTTCTGCGACAGCCAGGGTTACACAGAAAGACCCTGTCTCAAATTCAAAACAAACAACAATAAACCTTACAAGCGAAATCACTGAGAAAGCCGAGGAGGGCTGGCGTCGTTCTTGTTTGCACGCCACTCCTGGTCCTCTCTGGAAGTGTCCCTGATTTTCCCAACTCGTACTGTTATAACTTCACTGAATCAAGAGTAGCAATAACCCCACAAGACCTACCTGGACATAGCAAGAAAGTATTTTTAGTCTATGTTTGCCAGAAAGGTACACAAAGCTTGACTGGAAGACAAGCTCTGTGAGGAAGACATTCCTCACACTTTATTCCACCAAGTGTCAGTCTTTACTGAGGAGGCCAATTATTTCTTGCACAACAAACTTGTCCACATGAAAGAGAATTGTTCTGGGGAGATAAACAAATAGGCAGGGGCAAATGAAGGACAAATCTAGACTGAAAACTGTTTTGTAGCTGGAGGTTTTTTAGTTTTGAGAAGACTTTTCTGTGTATGAGTGTTTCTTGCCTGTACAGACACATATGAACCAAACACATGTGATGCCCAGAGTCCAGAAGAGAATGCCAGATCCCCTAGAGCCGGGGTGATGGACAGCTAAGTCACCATGCAGTTCTGGGAGCTGAACCCAGGTCCTTTACAAGAGCAGCTAGTACTCTTACGTCCTGCAGCCCAGCTGTAACCAAGTTTTTTAAAAAGTAAATCTGTCACAACACTTAGGATTTTTTTTTTTTTACTAGTTTCTGGAAGCCCAGGTTACAGGACTTGGTGCTGAGGGCAAAGAGGTTAGCTGCCCTGTTTCAACTCCAGTTACAATTCAAAGCTCAGCTGCTTGCAGCACCAGCTGCTACCACAGGATGAGGACCTGGGTCCAGCAGAGCCCATGGAACACACAGCTCTGATTCGAAAGCTCTGTGTTCATAGGCAGGAAACAGGGAGAGAGTGACCTGTTACAGGAGGGCTGTTGGCAGGAAGTTCAAGCCACTTTGAAGACCTATGAACTTCTCAGGACATCCTAACACACATTATTAATGCCTGTGTGTAGGTAGGCAGCCTGTGGGCATTTTCTTAGTCATTGATGGGGGAGGGCCCAGCCTATTGTGGGTGATGTCATCCCTGGCTGGTGGTCCTGGGTTCTTTAGAAAGCAGGCTGAACAAGCCATAAGGAGTAAGCCAGTAAGCAGCTCCCTTCCATGACGGGCTCCAATTCCTACCTGCCCTGTTTTGAGTTACAACCTTGGCTTTCCTAAATGGACTGTGATTCAGGATAAGTAAGCCAAATAAACCCTTTCCTCTCCAGTTGCTTTCAGTCATGGTGTTTCATCACAGCAATAGTAATCCAGTGCTTAGCTTTTTGCCAGGCCACAAACTTAGGTAAAAGAAGTTTGAATGTGGGCAGTGTGGCCACAAAGACTATTCCCTCACGGTCACGAGGCTACACAATACTCACAAAGTGCTAGGAAAAAGCAGGGCTGTCTGTTGAGAGGTCAGTCATCGTTCTTCACAGCCTGCACTGCCAGACTGGGAATTTTTTTTAATTCTTTTCGTCCATCACTGTGGAACTGTAAACACACCCTGCACACTGCACTGAACATAAAGGCAGGTTTTCCCACTCTTGGGTTTACTTGACACACAGAGTCCAGTCGGATTCAGTTACTTCTGCTCTCTGAACTATCAGGACCTGCTGTTATTTTCATTGTTTTCCAACTTTGTATGGGGTACAGGAAATACAACTATCAAAACTTCTTTGTTTTTTCAAGACAGTTTCTCTGTGTAGCCCTGGCTGTCATGAAACTCTCTATGTAGACCAGGCTGGCCCCCAACTCACAGAGATCCCCCTGCCTCTGTCCCCCTTCTCTCCATGCTGGGACTAAAGGTGTGTGCCACCATGCCCAGCCTATCCTTTTTACTTTTAAGCAGCCTGTATTACTGAGTGAATTTCAGGTCTCTAGCATTATTTCATGGCGGAATTCTCCAGAAAGAGAACAAATCTAATAGGCCACCATTTTCTTTTGCGACCTCCCCAAATTGTATGTTATTAAAAGAGGTTTTGAGGTCAGGCATGGTGGCACACACCTTTAATGGAAGTACTCCGGAGGCAGAGGCAGGCAGGTCTGAGTTCAAGGCCAGCCTGGTCTATGTAGTGAGTTCCAGGACAACCAGAAATACATAGAGAAACCCTGTCTCAAAAAACAAAAACAGAACAGAACAAAACAAAGGAAGTCTGTTTTTCCCCCTGAGAACCAAGTCAGGCTCCCCTTAGTTGCTTCTCTGTCACTGAAGATATTATTTCCCCAACTTTTTCATCTTCTGTTTCCAGTCACCTGATAAACTGAATTAGACGGGAGAAATTTAGCCTAATTCAGTTATTTTGTAGAGACTAAAGTCTGACTCTATAGAGAAAGACGCAGCAACTCACTGTAGAACCAAAAGTGGAACACTGACTCAGCTCTTTCTACATCCAGCAAAGGACAGCAGGCTCCACACAGGTCTTCCCTGGCACTCTGGAAGTTGTCCCCAGACGCTGACCAAGTACAGACTGTGCACTGTGTGCACCTTGGTGGCTCAGGGAGATGTCACTTACAGTGGAAACTGCAGACTGGCACGTGCTGTGAGAAGCAGAATTTGCTGTTTTATTTGGGGCAACATCGTGACCGCAGGGAACCCAAGCTGCCAATCACTTCTCAGCCCCAGACAGGAAAAACAAACAAACAAACAAACAAACAAACAAACAACCCCAAACAGTATTTAACAAAACAACTCAAGTCTTCTTATTAGGAGATTTATTTACATAGGGAAATCCAGGGCTCATGCCCTCAGTAGCTGCATTGCACCCTACCCACTGACCTCACACACTGCTAACAGCAGTGCCCAGGTCACCCTGTCTCCTAACTGTAGTCTCCAAGCACTGAGCAATTACAGAAAGGACAGTTAAGCCATACCTGGTATAAAGGTAAAGCATGTTGTCATAGTTTTCAATCAGGACTGAAACAGAATAGGGCTTTTCTGGCTAACAGTAAATCTCTGTTCCCTGAGCATCCTGGCCACACAGAGTCCATACCTTGTTCAGAAGGAACAATATATCCTTTAAATCAAAGACAAAGACATTATATGTGAGCCACTTTCACTTCTAGAAACAATGTAAAAAGTCTACATTATAGTTACACATCACACAAAAAACAAACACACTATTCATTTCCAACTTTTCTATATAGCTGTTAGATGCTAAATAGAAATTAAATTTTAGATCGATTAAAGACCAAATCAATAAACTAACACTGCTTTAGTGCAGGAGACAGACAAGAGGTGGTAACAATGCAATAGGATGCTGGAACTGTGGACCACAGGCTCCTACAGTCCACAGATTTTCTAGTCCCTTCGAAGGCCTCATTTTCCAGCCTTGGATGAACTCTGCATGCACTGGACAGGACTTCCCACTGCCTACCTCAGAACTCCAGGTCTGAGCTGGTCAGCACAATAATTCTGGTAGAGACACAGTCCTATCTGCCAATGATCTGTGACTATTGGCAGAAAAGCTTACCAACCAGAAAGAATACAACTAAAATGTTAAGTGTGAGGCAGAAGGCTAGGTTTAAGAAATGAAAAAGGTGTAATCTTCTGGCTGAGAGTCAGGTAATTTTTTAAAACAATCTCCAGAATGCCACATTACAGATACTAGTGAGTGACGGATCTCACACTGACATTTACTTAACACACACACGGAGATACAGAATCTTCTCGCAGTCTGATGGCTGTGTAGTGTGGGAATGTGCAGTGTGCTTGTAGCACACTTAAAACCTGGTGTAGGCACTTCGAGGCTGCGGCTGTGGCTGCGGCTGTAAAGGCTGCTGGGCTTGCTGCTGCTGTAGGCGAATTTGCTGGGAATAGGGGTCCTCCAGGGATTTGACAAACATGGTAGTTCTGGGGCCAGTTTTCCACACGATGCCATTGGCATCTCTCACTGACGACTCCACTGTAATGCTGTGTGTTCCAAGGACAGCAAAGTTCAACAGAAACTGGGTGCTGAAGTAATCATTGTGCGGCTCAACCCTCTGCTCCATCTCATTGGTTATGCTATCAATGGGAATCTGGAACACAAGAATTGTTAAATACCAACAAGAGCTGCCTTTCCAGTGTTCTCTAGGAGCCAGGCAGGCCCTGTCAAGGGAAAAGCTACACGAACTCTCATTACAATTTCCAGCAACATCTGAGACCACTCAACCATAACCAGTGTTCTAAACACAGTCCATATAGCCCTTTGTTCATCAGTCCCCAAGTATTTACAGAGTGGTTAAGGACACCATGTTCTGTGTCATCAATCAAAAGACAGAGAGTACAGCCTGAGAGGACATCATCAAAGAAAATGAAGTGACGATGGTGACCAGCTTCTTAGCATAGAATCATGATGAGAATGACATACACACAACATATACTTGCTAGTGCGTGCGTGTGTGCATGTATGTGTAGGAGGCTAGAGGCTGGGCACACGTACGTGTGTGAGTGCATGTGTGTTTGTGTGAGTGTGTGTGTGTGTGTGTGTGTGTGTGTGTGTGTGTGTATGCATGTGTGCGTGCGTGCGTGGGGGGGGGTTGGAGGCCAGAGGTCAATGCTGGATGTTTTCCCTCCATCACGCTCCACCTTTATTCTTTGAGACTGGGTATCAGTGGACTTGGATCTCATGCGTTTGGCCAGGGCAGCTGGCCAGTGAGTATCAGGCATCCACTCAGGGATGGGTGGTGGGTGTGATACAAATTCAGGTCCTCATGATGGCAAGCAGGCACTTTACCCACTGAGCATCCTCTCTAGCCATGCAATGCTCCTTTTAAACCTTCACCTTATTTATTGTTACATAGACGTAGTTCAAATATGCCAGAGTAACCTGGCACATTCTGGATTAAATCACCACAGCATGGGGAAAAAATGTCTAAGCAAAGAGACAGTGGTGCTGCACGAAACATGCAATTGATGTTGGTGGCACCCTGGTCAGAGGCACACGGCCACACAGCACAAGGCCTGAGTGATGCTGGCCCACACTGACCTCATGACCTCGTCCCTGGGACTGAGGTGTGGCACCTGCACTGTACACTACACGTCACGGCAGGCAGCAGCACTCCTCCATGGGGAGTGGAGCCCTGAGATGGCTCCAGGGGAGCTGGATTTTAGGAAGAAGGCTTCAGGAAAGGAAGCAGGCATGGGGCGGTGAGCTCTCTGAGTTGCCGGGGACAAGGTGGGGTGGGAAACCTGATCACGGGCACATGGTCACATAGCTCGTGCTGTGTAGACCTCAGATGGGTTCCATACAGCACTAAGAGTCACAGAATTCATGCTTTCATCTCTGCTGGAATGCTTTGCCCAGCAGAGAAAAGAGAAACATCGACTAACAGTCTCCACAGGCCTCAGCTGTACTGTTGTTATGACCCTGACCTGTGTGGAGGTGAAGATGACAGAACCGAGGGGAGCCCCACGTGGGGCCAGTAGGCTGCACTCGGCTTCTTCCTCATGTGACTTACCTTGAAATCTTGGCTGGATTTACTCTGCAGTGTGGAAGAAACACTCAGACACACAGACTGAATTCTTCGGAAGAGTCCTGGTTTAGAGCCATGCTGAACAACACCTTCTACCTTCAAGGCCAGCTGCTGGTTATTCTGTACAGCAATGGGCTCTGCTGGGTTCCGGGGAGACGGCGACAGAGCAAGCTGGGATGGGACAGTAGAGTGAGTGCTGACAACCCAAACCAAGTTTCCTCAACAACCTGGCTGCGCTCACCACAGGGAGCAGAGGACACACTGTGGGACTGTCCCTGGCAGCAAGCTAGCCCAGGACCTCACTGTGCTGGCCCCACCCTGCAGACAGACCTGTGCTATTTGAGGGAAGCAGGCAAAGGCACTGTCTCCTGGGGAGGCTTCCTGCTGAGGGAGGGGGAGCATGCAATGAACTACTCCCTCAAGTGAAATTCTATGCATAAATTTTCATGTCTACTGGATATGTCTTTGCTTCTAGGAAAAGAAATTTTTTTGTGTGTGTGAAATTCTCTTAAGTAATTTAAAATAGATTAATTCAAATGCAAACAAACTTAAAATTCTAAGATAATTCACATAACAAAGTCATTATGGCATTAAAAAGAAGTCAGTTTCCACAATGAACCCAAAAACAATTGGGGGTGTTAGGGATGGATCCTGAGGCCTCAAGGCTGTTAACTGAGTAACATTTTTAACTTGTAGCTTTTCTTTTGCAGTGCACTGCAAATCCCAGATGCACCGCAACTGTAGGAAGCTCAATCTGGCTGAGGGTGAAGGTAACGGGAGTTTTCTGATGTTACTGAGCCTCTGAACTTGTCACCGACTGTGCAGACAGCTTGTCTTAGGACTGCTCCCCTCCTAATAATTAAGGTCTTTTTGAGCCGTTAGTTGCAACCAAAAGCATTAAGTGGATGCAAAAGTTGATCGGCAGGCAGAATCCAAGCTATCTCTTTCAGGGAACAATCTCCTCCATTATCAACAATTCAAAAATAGCTTTTGAATTCTGAGTGAGTTAAGGATTTCAATACACTACCTCTCTCGGGAGGTTAGCTCCCCAGACTTGTCCTTCAAAGGCAAGAGTGCCCTGAAGGTTCGACTGGTGGTGTTGCCCTGGGCCTGATGCAGTCAGAGCTGGGTCTGCTCTCACACAGACTCAGCTCAAGACCCTGGTAGGCAACTGCAATAGATTTACAAGAACTCTTTTCTGGAGGTAAGAGACAACGGATGGACTCCTGTTACCCAAATGCCTCTTACAGTAACTTTCAAGTACTGTTTCCTTCCTCAAATCATCCGATGAAAGGGGGAGAGGCAGCCAACTAAGTTTTTATCTATGCCTAAGTGAAGACACTAAACCTCAGCTATGTCCCATTAAATCTTCAGAAACTAGCTAGCTGGTTTTTACTACATTTTGTGCAAGTCTGTGTTTGGGTGTGGTTGCCATGGCACACACGTGGAGGTCAAGGACAACTTTGGAGTCATTCTCTATTCTAGCGTGTAGGCCTTGGGGATTGAACTCAGGTGTTACCAGCTCCACTTAGCTGGTTTTTAAACCTTAAGTTTTCTTCCTGCCTTACCTTGATGCTGGTAGACTGCAGTTTCTGGAAAAAGTATCTCTGAAACGAAAGAGGAACTTTCAGCAAGGCGATGATGGCATTGCAGAGGCATGCCGTGTGCTGTGGGAGAGAGGGAGAGAGGGAGAGAGTCAGCTGCAAAGAAACCTGCAAACTTACCAGCAGATACCATGTTCAGGGCAGAGCTTTGGAAACACATGCTTACACACGAACTCAATCACTCATGTCCAGAGACGTAATCAGTGGGCTGGAGAGATGTCCAAGTGGTTAGAAGCGCTGGCTGCTTCTACAGAGAACCTGGTTTCAATTCCCTGCATACATGGCAGGTCACAACCATCTGTAACTCCAGACCCAGGGGATCTGACATCCTTCTCCAGCACACAAGTAACAGGCACACATGTAGTACAGAAACACACACACACACAAAGTAAATAAAATTTTTTAAAAAGGGAGTTGCAATCATAAATTTCTACTTTATTTTCTTAATTTTTTTTAATTAGACTTACTAGTTTTATTTTTTTTTCTGTGTTTTCTACCCCTGTGCCATGACAGAATCACATGGAACCTTCTAAGAAGTGCTTTCCCCTGTCTTATGACAGGATTATGCTGATAAGCCTACCAGAGGTAGGTGGGCAGTAGTGGTGCACGCCTTTAATCCTAGCACTCAGGAGGCAAAGGCAGGCAGATCTCTGTGATTTCGAGGTCAGCCTGGTCTACAGAGTGAGTTCCCAGGACAGCAAGGGCTACACAGAGAAACCCTGTCTTGAAAAACCAAAGAAAAACAAAAAAGAATTAAAAACAACAACAACAAAAAACCCACCAGAGACTTAAAGTATTGTAAGCCCAAGTTGCATGTTTAAATGCCCAGACACTTATTTTAGCCACTATTTGGGCAAAACCAGCCATCGACCACAAACTTCTTTTTTTTTTTTTTCCTTTTGTTTTTCCAGACAGGGTTTCTCTGTGTAGCTTTGGAGCCTGTCCTGGCACTCGCTCTGGAGACCAGGCTGGCCTCGAACTCACAGAGATCCACCTGCCTCTGCCTCCCGAGTGCTGGGATTAAAGGCGTGCGCCATCAATGCTGGGCTACAAACCTCTTTTACAATGAAGCAGTGAGCGTTTACCCAGTGTCAATGCATTTACTCAATGCAGCACTGACTATGCGGTGGGTGGCGAACCCTCGGCAACATTCCCTGCCCGAGTCTCTGTGAGGCTCGAAGCTCTACCGCTGGGACCACTGTCCGGGACCCAGCTTCCACCTTAACTCTGCCGCCAGGCCTCCATTCTAACTCTGGTACCACTGTCTATGGCCACAGGCCTCCACTCCAGATTTAGTCAACTGTCTTTGGGGGTGGTCAGGGAGGGATGACTAGATACTGATGTAGTTTTTAAAAAGCCCCCAAAGTGATTCTGGTTGGGAAAGAGTTAAGAATTATAACTTCAGACTGACGTTTACAAAGAGTAAAACAGGTCTGCATACAGGGAAGTCAGATGTGATAAAAATGATTTGATTTGTTAGTGTGGCCATGAAGCCAAGAGATGGGTTAAGGGCTGTCACAGATGGGCTCCTTTAGCCCTTATCACTGACGTCTGTGGTGGGCAAGTGCGTAAGATGCACTCAATAGTGGACTGTGAAAGCAGCCACAGCTCGCTCTTCTACTTCAGAATGGCTCCTCTACCTGCACAGAAGTCCATCCACAGGCACAGAATGCAGGCTTGGCTAATCTCCTTGTGTGACACTTCTAATTAGCATGTTCTTTACAATTAGGTTTTAAGGGGGCTGGAGAGATGGCTCAGCGGTTAAGAGCACTGCCTGCTCTTCCAAAGGTAAGGAATTCAATTCCCAGCAACCACATGGTGGCTCACAACCATCTGTAATGAGATCTGGTGCCCTCTGCTGGCATACAGACATACATGCAAGCACAACACTGTACACGTAATAAATAAATAAATAAATGTTAAAAAAACCAAAATAATTAGGTTTTAATAAAACAAAGAACAAAAAATAAAGTGCCAGAGATGTATTTTCTTAAAAAAAAATTCACTTCCTCAATGACAAAAACTTAGCAAAACAAATGCCACTTACCATGTAGGAAACAGGGGCGTATTTCCGGTTGAGCGACTCCACCTCTTCTAGGACATGGCTGTACACGGCCATCATTCTTCTCTCATACTCACTGTCAGCGTGAGCAGTTCCCGTGGAGCCATACTCCTGGAAGCTAGAGCAGAGACCAGCAGCACAGTTAACCCTTCAATACCCCTTCCACGTGTCTGCCCAACATGGTCTACATTGCCACTTCACCTTTTAGCAACTGAAGTGATTTCCAATCACAGATAAGGAAACTGAGACTTGGTAAGGCTAATCTGTCTACAGTTGTACAACTGACAAGTTGGAATTTAAACCCAAATCTGACTATAAATGATGTAACTCTTAACTACTCCCATGAAGGTCTTTAAATCTGTCACCATATGGGAAAAAGACACTTGAGAAGGGGCCAGAGAGTAACATACATATGACACCATATAAATAACAGAGAATACAGACAAGGGCAGGCCTACAGATCACTAGGTCAGCATGCCATCCAACTCGGAAGATGGCTGAGGAAGCTGTGTCAGCACAAAGCCAGGAGATGAAAAGCACAGACTGAGCAGGGATTTCTGGGATAGAGAACTCCAGGAAAGCTTAGCCTAGGCTCCTTCTTGTCCCCTCCTCTGAAAACATTTCTAATAGAGTTAAGGAGCAAAACTCTCAACTCCTAAATAAACTTGAAGAGGGATATCTGGAAGTGTGTGCAGTGTAGGCAATTAACACCGGGCTCACACTCATTCCTTCAAATCCTTCTAGAGCTACTACCAATGTGTATGGTAGTTCCGCTAGACACTGCATGCCAGCTGTCCATTTCATCCTCATTGCCTTGGGACTTCATCTGTAGTCACATCCGCCTGACTCCAGGGCTCTGCTCTACACTTGAAATTTTATTAAGACAAGAAATAAAAGTATCACAATGGATGCAAAAAGTGGACTGACACAAGTGGTGAGCCAAGCTTGCAATGTATCTCAGGCTTAAATGCAGAGTGAAAGTAAATTCTCAGCAGAGTGCTGCTCTCAGTCTACTTTAGTGAACACACCATGTCAGTAACTAGCTACTGGGGGAGGAAAAGGGATTTTTAAGGAAGCAGATGAGGAGCATCTTTGGTTTGGGGAAGCCAGATATTAAAAAGCTCAACTGTGAGAGGGTGGGGAAATGGCTCAGTGGTTAAGAGCATTGTGTGCTCTTCCAGAAGACTGGGGTTCAATTCCCAGCACCCATACAGCAGCTCACAGCTGTCTGTAACTCCAGTTCCAGGGGATTCTACACCTTCACACAGACACACATGTAGGCGGTACACACACATACACACCAACTCTGAGTTATTAACTCAATTTCCCAGCACAATACATCCAAATAACCTTTCCTCAGTTGTCTTTCTAGGTCAATGCTGTCAATGCAGAGGAAGAGACTCCTCTCCAGCCTTCTGTCCTAGCCCTGTGACCCTAGGCTACCAGGAAGAGCTCTTGGGCTTTCCTTTCTTTTCTTTCCAAAACACTATTGCAATCATCAGGTAACAATGCATTTGAAATTTTATAAAGCAAGCATCATTCAACTCACCTTGCTGACTCTGGGTCCAAGACCAGGGCTTCTATGGCATGGGCTATCAATAAGCAGCTCTGCTGCTGTCTGCAGCACTGTTAAGTCACACAGGAGGCACAGAGACCCACCACACACTTCTACGTTATCTACTGCACGATAGGGTACATGCTGTCTACACCAGCAATTTAAACCTCGCAGGGCTTTCCAGAGCCCAATAAGGGACCCCACCCCCACCCCAAGGGACTGACTGAACCCAGAGCCTTGTACACGCTACACAAAATGACTTTCAAAAGAGCCAGAGTGGTGGCACACACCGTTGATCCCAGTAATGCTCAGGAAAAAGAAGCAGATGGATCTCTGTGAGTTTGAGGCCTGCCTGGTCTATATAGCAAATTCCAGGATAGGCAGGGATACATAGAGACCCCTGTCTTAAAAAAATGTTGTTGTTTTTTTTTTTTGGGGGGGGGGAGGTCAGGGGCAAGGTCTCACTAAGTTGCCTAGGAGGGCCTTGAACTTAACAATCCTCCTGCCTCAGCTTCCCAAACTAGGGCCACAGGTATGCCCTTTCATGCCCAACTGAAACTGCAGATTTTTCACCTCAGATAAAGAAACAATGATACAGGAAAGGAAGGAGGGAGGAGAGGGGAGGGAAGAAGGAAGAGAGTGAGAAGAAAAGGAAGGGAGGGGTTTTCATTTGGAAGGTTCCTGAGCTGTGTGTGACTCAAGCGGTCTGCCACCCCCACTGTGTTTGAGTGTGTGTGTAAACACTCGCCCGTGAGCACTCACTTGTATGGCAGAGCACCCTCAATCAAAACTCCAAGAACTACTAACACCTAAGTCTGACAATTTCAGAATAGCTTTTCCCCCTCTTTCCAATAAGACTGGAAGTTGATAATTAGAAAACGTGGATGGCTTTATGAGCGCTAACGGAACAGATTTGGTGGTGACTTTCATAACAAAGCGGACAGACTAGGGTTGTCAGCCAAGTGAGCACAGGCTCCTGACTGGTGGGACCTGGGCTTGATTAGCACATTTTTTAGAAAGGCCTTGCAGGTTTGCTAGCTGGTTTGCACCTCCTGGCTGAAGCAATCCGCACAAATCAGTCTCCTTAATCTTGGGGACAACAGGCTTGTGTCACTTGTGGGTACCACTCAGGGCTGTGGCAGTTTTTTCCTGAAGGTAAACAAGGTCAGCAGGAAGTTAACCCCTTTTAATAGACTGACTTTAGTTTAATACTAAAGTTATTTTGCTCTTACTAAATTTCAAAGGAAGAAATCATTAATTATAATTAATATAAGGACTATCAATCTGTATTTCTGATTGAGCAAATTTACTCCACATTTCAGAGAGCACTTCCCCAGCAGCAGAGGATACAGTTCCACGTTCCTCAGAGTTGCTGAGTCGGCGTCAAAGGATGTCTGATAGAGGTCTCGGTACCGGGAAGCAAGGCTTCGGAATTCTTCCATGGATTGCTTCATCTACAGAGAGGGGAAACATAAAAAGTAAAGCACAGAAAACTCATCCTCAGTAACAGTTCAAATAAAAATTGAATTATTTTCATAGCTTTATTACATAAAATCAACAAAGATGGCAAATGAAACTATAAATGTTCAGTGTGTAATGATTTACTAATGATGTCTAGAAACAAGACACTTGCATTTTAGTTTCTTCAAGTTTCACTAAGATAACTAATACTATTGTAGACATTCCCAACTTGTTAATGTCATTCCATTCTCTTTTGTATAATACACAGTACCAAGTCTTTAAATAACTTATCATCCTATTCTGCCACACAGATGAGTTAGGTATTTGACACATACCATTGGTTTTAATTTGCACAACCTTTCATCTTTAATCTCTGAAGTCTAAATAACATACACAATGGACAGGAATTAAGACATGCCTGATTGGAGATTCGGCCACATCTCTGAAGATCATTTCCTAAGGTCATGGCAATTGTGGTGGCGATTGCAGGGGGAGGGCTTGTCTTTAGGCTGTTACAAGTACAAATAAGTTGCGAGAAGGCTTGGAGAAGATCAATCCTGAGTTTTACAAACTCACACTGAAAACTTAAAGGATTCAGTGGCGTGCTGGCAGCCTGGAATAAAGAAAGACATTTAATACAAAGTAACCCGCCACTATAGATTCAACCAAGCCAAATTTAAAAATGCACTTGAATGGAACACTAACAGACTGTTTCCTGTCTTTTCCCTAAAACGTCACAGGACAGCACAACAGCATCTCAATTATCCACACACCATTTACACTGTGCTAGGATTGCAAATAACCTGGAGATGATTTACAGCACAAGGGGGCATGCACAGTGTATACGAAAAAGCTGCGCCTTTTAAGGATTTGGACATCTGTGACTGTCTGAGTGTCTTGGAATCTGCCTTCCCGGAAGCCATGGGAGGACGGCATAGGTCACAGTTTATGCACAAGTCAGGGTGAACACTACACTACAATGAGAGCGACGTAACAACATCAGAAAAACTCACCCTCAGTAGCATTGCCTGAAAGCCTTGCTGACATTCAGAGGTTGCTCACTGCCTGCTCTTAGCACACAGCTTGCTAAATTATCACTAAAACATCACCTCTGGAGGTTCAAAGACTTTATCATCTTCCCAAATCTTACCACTCTCCAACCTTTCCAATCTGCAGCTTCTGTCACCAAAACCATTAACAGTGTGCTGAAAAGTTGGGCATTGAGGAACAGGAGGTAAAGGCAGCAGAAGCATGCTTCTAGATGGCCCCTCTGCCTCAAGGCTGCCTTCTAGTCCACCAGAGTGGCTTATCACACACTGGCGTTCAGGAGATGAAGCACAAGAGGAAGTCTGCAAGAGACAGAGAGCAGCCACAGAGTGGGGAGTGGCTAAGTCCCAGAGAGCTACCACAGCTGCCCACTGCTTAGCAACCGTCCTTGTGGAGAACCCAGCAGTATGTTTTCAATAAGAGGACATAGTAGAAATGTGCCAGTTTCACAGGAAATGGAGGCACGGCAAGTGCGCCCTCTACAGGTGGCTGTTTCCAGCACACGGATGTGGTTCCTTAAGGAAATGAGGCATTTCCACCTGCCTGAGCTGCACACACTGTCCTCAGTGAAGCCCTCTTGCTTACAACGACAAACAGGGCCTGTTCAGCTGCCCCTGCACCCTGTGAGGGAGCACACTGAGGGGACCCCTTCTCCAGCTGAGGGGACCCCTGAGGCACTGTGTGCGGTGGAGAAATGAAAACTCTCCTCAATGTTTGACTGTGCTGGCTTTTTCAGCCCTGCCATATTCTGTTATCATTACAAAACAGCTCATGTTGAGATACTACACAAACTCTTTCAATTGTTTTTAATGTCTTAGGTTTGATTTGCTCTTGTAGGAAGATGGAAGGAAATCCTCTATTTCCTGTCTCTTTAGCTGCTACTTGCAAATTAAAAAATCAACTTATTAATGGGCTCATCTGAGAGCTGGTTCAGCAGTCAACAGCACTGGCTGCCCTTCCTTCCAGAGGACCTGGTCCACATGGCAGCTCACAACCTCCGGTAGCCCCGGTTCTAGGGGACCTGGACACTCTCTTTGAGCTTCCTTAAGTAAGCATGAGATCCCACAGGCATGCATGCACCAAAACACATGAAATAAAAACAAATCTAATTAAAAATGGTATTTCTAATTAGTGTGTGTAGGCCATGTATGTGTAAGATACCCATGGAGGAGTGAAGAGGGCTTCAGACGCCCTGGAGCTAGGATTACAGACAGTCAGGCAGCTGTGTCACCCGACGTGGGTCCTATGGCAGGTGTTCTTAACTGCTGGGTCATCTCTCTAACCCCTCCTACTATCTTCACCTTATCATCTGCTATCAAGAGACAGGTGCACACGTAATCGTACATAACTGAAGCACAAAAAGCCCTGGCACTGACATTCTAACATGCATCTAAAGCCAAAGGAGAGGCCAGGCGCAGTGATGAGAGAACTCTGGCCATGCTGGGAAGATCTTACTGATGACCTGAGGTGGCAGCCTTGACAGCTGCTGTGATGAGCTTGTTTGTGGCAGTGTTAACAGGTCACAGTGCCCAAAGAAGAACCCAAAGCAGAAAGGACCATACCCATACCCATCACCACCATCACCAGGAGGGGTGGGAACTCACTGTTAAGGAGGCGATCCCCTTGTGGTAGAATTTCAAAGACTCAGCAATGCAAGAAAGTGCTGAACTGAAGCTCTCCTCCTGCAGCCCAGTCAGACACTGCTCGGCGTGAGAGAACTCCTTCAGACTATTCAGCCAGAAGTAGAAGTGCTCTGAAGCCACCTGAGTCAGCAAACTCTGGTACAGCTCTCGGGCCATGTCATGGTTGCCCTAAGAAAGGAGGAGGCCAGGAGTGAGGCTCTACATTCCAAACTGTTACTACAGCAAGAAGACAGACCCAGAACAAGCCCGAATATCACGTCATATTACATAATTCCCTGAGACAGTCTAAATAGTTCTTTAGAGAAAATATGCCCAGCTGCTTTTATAACATAAGGCCTCACATTCTTTACTAAAACAGTTCCAATGAGAAAATAAATGGAGTGAATTGTAACTCAAGTCTAGAATGTTAGTCTAAAATACAAAAAAATTCAGTACTTTTTGCAGTCATTTTGTAGGAGCTGTTTAGGGAAGTGCAGGGAACTCCAGGCTTAGAGTTACCTGGTGGAGGGGGAATGGCATTCCGTGACTTGGAGGTAGGGACACTTAAGACCCTGCTGTGCCAGCACACCATGCCATTACACTCAGCAGTGCAGTCACGGGTGACAGCAGGAAACAGCACCCGCTTCAACCACCGAGCTGCACTCCTCACTCTGTTCTCTGCACTCAGCCCCAGGTTTCTGGACCAACTACACTTTGTATTTCTTTAAAAAAAAAAAAAAAAAAAAATTCTATGATCAGGTTGGAGAAAGAATGGTAGAAAAAAATTCGTGCTGATAAGTAAGACCAGAAATAGCAAGGGGAGTGGCCCTGGGTACCACAACCTACCACAAAGTAAACTGATTCTAACCATCTCCAGACAGTGCATCACCACAGACTTACTGTACCGACAAGCACCAATCAACAGACCACTGCTCATGAGGAGAGCTGAGTTAGTCCTTGGGCACCCTAAGAGCCCACGAGTAACATACACCTTCTGAGAACAGCCCCACGGGCTCCTGTGTTTGAATGTTTGGTCCCTAGGGAGCAAAACTGCTTGAAGAGATTATAAGGGGTAGGAGGTGTGCCTTGTTGGAAGACACCAGTTACTGGGATTGGGTTCTGAGGGCTCAGTGTCTCTCTGCCTGCCGCCTGTGGATGATAGAAAGTTCTCAGCTGCTTCTTCAGTACCTTCCTGCCTGCAGCCACACCGCCCCGAAGCTGTAAGCAAGCCCCCAGTTAAATGCTCTCTTTTGTAAGAGTTGCCGTGCTCATGGTGTCTCTTCACAGCAGCAGAACCGTGATGCAGACAGCTTCCATGTTGACTATGGTAATGACTACATCATTTAAGGTGCATACTCTGACATCCCAGCATGCGCAATTACTCCAGCATACACCTAGCTGACATCCCAGCGTACACCATACCATCCTGGAAGCCTGCCTGGCGATCCGGTACACAGTCCAGCCACTGGAGACGCTGTCAAGCTGCTGCTTGATTACAGCCTTTACTTCCGAAGACAGGGCTTTCTGGCTGGCCACAAAAATCACAGTAGCCAAGCTCACCTAACAGACAAGTAAAAAAGACATGTAATTTTACTCAAACACAAAGACAAAAATTAGAGATCACCAAACTTAGGGCCAGTGAGATGGCTCAGCAGGTGAGCCATGCCCGCTGACAAGTCCTATACAGTAGAAGGGGAGAACTGAAGTCTGAGAGTGGCCCTGGGACCGCCACACCTGTGCCTGCACGCCCACACCAAGTAACTGAGCAAGCATGACAAAAAGGAACAAAACGGGTTTTCTGTCGACATTATTTCATTTATCATTTTTAAGTCATTAAGCAACTTATTCCATTAACTCAGAACACTGTCAGTACAGCAAGTAATTAGAAAAAATGCTCATAAGTGAGAACAAATAAATTATGATTCCATCACACATACATGTGATGTCAGTGAAATGCACATCAATCACATAGAACTACTAGCAAGGCAGGCAAACTGTGGGAGCTGAATTGTAGCATAACATTTACACAGAGCTATGCATATATCATTTAGGGTACACACTGGGTTATCCAAGCACAGCACACAAAGCTAGCTGCTTCCCCCGTGAGGAGGAGGAGTTAACCTTGACTGATGACTGTTAGGAATCCCCATGTGTGCTAGATGGTTTATGTCAACTCGAAACAGGCTACAGTCACCTGAGAGGAGGGAACAACACTTGAGAAAATGCTGCCATAAGATGGGTCTGTAGGGTTATTTTCTCAATCAGTGAATGATGGGGGAGGTCCCAGACCATTGTGGGCAGGGCCATCCCAAGGCTGGTGGTGCTGGGTTCTATAAGAAAGCAGGCTGAGCAAGTCATGAGGAGCAAGTCAGTAAGCAGCTCCCCCCAATGGCTTCTGTGTCGGCTCCTGCCTCAGGTTCCTGCTCTGTTTGAGTTCCTGCCCTGACTTCCTTCCCTGATGAACAGTAATAAGGAAGTATAAGCCAAATAAACCCTTTCCTCTCCACCTTCCTTTTTGGTCATGGTGACTCATTTCAGCAACAGGAGCCCTAACTACGACACCATGGAATCACATCTCAAGGAGAATCTATAAAGGTGTTCCTACAACAGCTCCAATGAAGCTGCAGGTCTCATCTGAATATGGACAACGCTGTCTCATGGGCTGGGATCCCGAACCAAACAATGAAGGTCAACAAGCGGGGCAAGCATGTGCTATGTGCTTGCCCTCTCTGGCCCCTGTAGACACACGTGTGCTATGTGCTCGCCCTCTCTGGCCCCTGTAGACAAGCATGTACTATGTGGCTCGCCCTCTCTGGCCCCTGTAGACAAGCATGTGCTATGTGCTCGCCCTCTCTGGCCCCTGTAGACACCCATGTGCAATGTGCTCACCCTCTCTGGCCCCTGTAGACAAGCGTGTGCTATGTGCTCGCCCTCTCTGGCCCCTGTAGACAAGCATGTGCTATGTGCTCGCCCTCTCTTGCCCCTGTAGACAAGCATGTGCTATGTGCTCGCCCTCTCTTGCCCCTGTAGACAAGCATGTGCTATGTGCTCGCCCTCTCTGGCCCCTGTAGACACGTGTGTGCTATGTGGCTTGCCCTCTCTGGCCCCTGTAGACAAGCGTGTGCTATGTGCTCGCCCCCTCTGGCCCCTGTAGAACCACTGGGGCTCTGTGCCGCCCCCCTCTGGCCCCTGTAGAACCACTGGGGCTCTGTGCCGCCCCCCTCTGGCCCCTGTAGAACCACTGGGGCTCTGTGCCGCCCCCCTCTGGCCCCTGTAGAACCACTGGGGCTCTGTGCCGCCCCCCTCTGGCCCCTGTAGAACCACTGGGGCTCTGTGCCGCCCCCCTCTGGCCCCTGTAGAACCACTGGGGCTCTGTGCCGCCCCCCTCTGGCCCCTGTAGAACCACTGGGGCTCTGTGCCGCCCCCCTCTGGCCCCTGTAGAACCACTGGGGCTCTGTGCCGCCCCCCTCTGGCCCCTGTAGAACCACTGGGGCTCTGTGCCGCCCCCCTCTGGCCCCTGTAGAACCACTGGGGCTCTGTGCCGCCCCCCTCTGGCCCCTGTAGAACCACTGGGGCTCTGTGCCGCCCCCCTCTGGCCCCTGTAGAACCACTGGGGCTCTGTGCCGCCCCCCTCTGGCCCCTGTAGAACCACTGGGGCTCTGTGCCGCCCCCCTCTGGCCCCTGTAGAACCACTGGGGCTCTGTGCCGCCCCCCTCTGGCCCCTGGAGACAAGCATGTGCTATGTGGCTCGCCCTCTCTGGCCCCTGTAGACAAGCGTGTACTATATGCTCGCCCTCTCTGGCCCCTGTAGACAAGTGTGTGCTATGTGCTCGCCCTCTCTGGCCCCCCTGTAGCCATGCCCTCCCCACCATGAAGACTACACAGCTTCTCAAATGTGAGAGACCCTCTCCCTTAAGCTGCTTTTGCCAGATATTCTGTCACAGCAAAAGAAAAGTAACTAAGACAGGCTGAAGGAGGGGTAGATTTTAACTATATAATAATATGGCTTTCTTTTCTTTTGAGATAGGGTCTCTATATAGCCTGGTGTGTCCTAGAATTCACTACGTAGACCAGTCTGTCTTTGCTCTCCATCCCTAGTGATGGTATTTCAGGCGGGCACCACCATGCCTGGCCTAGCATTGTTTTCTTCAGTTAAGTTACACACACATATGTTTTACTGTATTCTTATTAGATTAAAAAACAACAACTCATATTCTGCTAATAGTGATAATCAAAAAGATAGAGATCATTCAATGATCATGCCACTTCAATAAGTAACAAATTTGGCTAAGACATTCTACAGAGAAACCTTGGAACACTCAGCCTTAAATGGGGTGTCTCTATCAAATCCCTCCCCTTAGGGCTCAGGGAACACTTGGGAGAGGGGCAGAAGTGTAAGAGCCAGAGGGGATAGAGCACACCAGGGAAACAAGGCCGTCTAAATCAGCACAGTCAAAGCTCCTACAAACTCAGAGACTGAGGACGTGCACACGCGCACACCCACCCACAGGCGCGCGCGCGCGCGCGCGCGCACACACACACACACACACACACACACGCACACACACAGAGGAACTCATGGGTCTACACCATGCCTTCTACATATATATCATGGCTTCCAGTTTAGTGCTTTTATGGGATCCCTGAGTGTTTGAACAAGTGGGGCTCTGATTCTTACATCTTCTCTTGGGCTCTTTTGCTTCTATTTGTTTGTCTTGTCCAACTCCAATGTGGTAGTTTTTATCCTATCCTATCCTATCCCTTAGAAGCCTGTTTCTTTTCTAATGAGACAGAAAGGGAGTGCATTCGGATGGGAGGGGAGGTGGGGAAGGACCTGGGAAGAGTGGAGAGAGGGGAAAACATAAACAGTACATTATGTGAGGGAAAAATCCAAACAAACAAACCTGGCTAAATATGCTTCTCTGTGTCAGTGACCCCTGCTGGGGTCATACACTGAGATCTCAGGGGCAACCACTTGTGAAGTGGGTGTCAATCCTTTAGGCAGCCCTCCACAGAGGCTTGAGTAAGTCATTTTGTTCTGCTTTCCCCCATGCCCCACCTCAGAGCTTTCATGAACTGTACAACACTCAGCCTTGGAGACTGCCACTGCTTCTGGTCTTTCTAAGCCTCCTCTATCTTGGTATCAAGACATGAAAACCTGAACTGAGTGACAAGCAGCTATAGAAGTCCTGTAATGGAAAACTAATCTGGTTGAGTTTATGTTCATTACTGAATTTTAAACATTTTCTAAGTTTATAATAGTATTATTTTTGTTCTTAAGTTCCCAGTATTTACAGCAGGCTTAAAAGCAGTTCTTTACCAGAAGTTCCTGTTGCTTGTCCGTGGCTGATCGTCCAATCACCTTGTACAGCTCCACAAGGTCACCAAGCATCCCATCACCCAGTACTGGCAGCTGCATGGCAATGGCTGCCAGGCAGTGGCACATGAGGACCCGGGCTGTGTCCTGAGAGCTGTGCAGCTGAGTCAGAAGAGTGTCAACCACTGACCGGCTCAAATGGGGCCTGCCCTTGGCCAGCTTCACCATGCAGTTGAGAGCAATCTGCACACCAGAGAGACAACACACTGGTTATGGGCTGAGCTATTAGGAGAGCGACTGCCTAGCACAACGAAGGTATTTCATGCTTGATTCCAGTAGTGGTCTCGCCTTACATTTTATGAACCTTAAATATATTTTTAATGGTTTTTGTATGTTTTGTTTTTTTTCACTTTTTTTTTCTTTGAACTCATTATGTAGGCCAGGCTGATCTCAGACCTACAGAGATCTGCCTGCTTCTGCCTCGTGTTTGCTCAGATTTAAGGTGTGTGCCATCTTGCCTGGAAATTTTTATCTTAAAAGTACAAAAACTGCCAGGAGTTGGTGGTGTATGCCTTTAATCCCAGCTCTCGGGAGGCAGAGACAGGAGGATCTCTGTGAGTTCGAGGCCAGCCTGGGCTCCAGAGCAAGTGCCAGGATAGGCTCCAAAGCTACACAGAGAAACCCTGTCTCGAAAAACCAAAAAAAAAAAAAAAAAAAGAAAGAAAAAAAAGAAAAAGAAAAAGAAAATAGGTCATGTTAACTATCCACCTAAATAAAACAAAAAAAACCTATAGTACATTTAAGTGTGCACATGAACATACATACATAGTTTAAATGAAAACTTCTCAACTTGGCTGACAATACACTCCCAAGAGCCAAAGACAATCTAACAAACCCCATCACCAGGTGCAAGAAGCCCTCTTTTGAGCTGTTGGTCAGGACTGTCCACAAGACTCACAAAATGACCTTGGCTGCATCCCAGAAGTGGAGGGTGAGCCCCTAGAGTGAAGACACCATGCATTTCCAAAGCAACTTAATACACAGAGAGCTCACAACAAAATGCACCAAGTCTAGACTTCTATTTTCTCTTCCTTTTGGGATATTACCAGATTTCGAGCTGGGCATGGTAATTGTAATTCCAACACTCTGGAGGGCAGAGATGGGAGAACTGTTCCAAACTCAAGGTAACCTTGGGCTTCACAGTAAGTTCCAGGCCACCATGAGCTACAGAGTAACTTTGTTTTTTCAAGAAGGGGTTTCTCTGTGTAGCCCTGGCTGTCCTGGAACTCACTTTGTAAGCCAGGCTGGCTTTGAACTCAGAGATCTGTCTGCCTCAGCCTCCTCCTGAGTGCTGGGATCATAGGTGTGTGCCACCACTGGCTGACAGTGATATTTTTAAAGTAAAGGTCAAAGGCAAATTTTTCCCCCAAGGATGGTTTCTCTGTAGCATTGGAGCCTGTCCTAGATCTGACTCTGGAGACCAGGCTGGTTTCCAAGTCACAGAGACTCACCTGCCTCTGCTTCCCGAGTGTGGGGAGTAAAGGTGTGTGCCACCACCGCCAGATTGGCCAAAGGCAAATGTTTAAGCCAGGGAATGACAAACAACTGCCTATGGGCTAAGTCTAGGCCCCCACTAATACTAGAGCAGTGACATCCTCTCCTCCAGCCTTCACTGTGCCATGATCTTGTGCCCCATCACAGGATGACTGAGGAGCTACGGCAGAGCAGATGGCCTGCAGCCCAGGGACTACTCCCCGGTGAAGCTATGGAAACAGGCAGTATATTAAGTGATGCCGTCTTCACCTTCACAGTGGATTGAGCACCTGGACTGTCATCTTGACTACAAAGCACCAGAAGGGATTCCAGGCCAAAGACAGCATCTTGTTCCAATGACAAGAGATCTGGAAGGAAACATTAAGTTTTAGGGTGACCAGGAGAGGATTAACACATACAAACAGAAAGAGACAGACAGACAGACAGAAACATGCAACAAATCTAACAAAGGAAACGAAGATGTAATTCTAACTTTCTTGGAGAGGGGAATGAATGATCAAAATATGAATACCCTAACTTTATAAAAGCACATGCAATATTGTTTCAAAAATGTAAAGGTTAGCTTCAGACACCTTCTTTAACTCCACCACATTAATGAAGATTATAAAATATTCACATGAAATCAACAGGTAAAGTCATGAAGTTATACATAAAGAGAAACTGAAATACCGCTGCCAATTCAGCTAAGAAAAACACTAGGAGCAGAAACCTGTGCCACATCAGACACAGACAATGCAGGTGCATTTTCAGTTGGTCTAACAGACTTCAGCTTCTCATCAAAGTCAGCCCGTCTTACAAAGTACTGGCCCTAAGAAGCAAGCTCTGTGTCTTGCAGATGCAGCACTGCACTGCCAAATATCTGAAGGTCCCTGGGGCTGTAAACATCACAGGTAACTTAGGTCACTGAGAACATACTGTAGTTTCCGAAACCACATGCAAGAAAAGCCTTTTACTAGGATCAAGTATTCAAGTCAATCAAATGTTTAAGAATGTTTACAAGTTACTGGAGGACCTTGGCAAACGGTATGAACAAACACTGGGACTCAGGGCATGGTACTGAGGCAGCAGGAGAAGGAGTGTTGAGCTTGTGGCCCCCATAAACGTCAACACTAGCACTGAGACAGATCAACTGTTCAAACTGCACTTCCCATTCATGAATGGAGTCATGAATTTCTAGTCTTACAGTTAAAATGATGTCAGAAAGATAATAAAATATATCCTCCTTGTTTGTGCAAGTCCACTCAACGTTATATGTACCTAGAGATGAGTTCTATGAAAATGCAATCGCGTTCCTGAGAGCTCAACCACCACTAGCAAACCACCACTTGCTACCTGGATAACCTGAGTAATTTTGCAGTTGCTGTGTTGGTGAATACAATATCTTATGTAGGTGGTCCCTGTCCCCAGCACGCCACACGCCACAGTGAACAGAGGGAGGAAGCAGGCAATGACCTGTAAGACATCTCAACCCACAAGAGCTCACACAAATAAGGCTGCCTAAGACACTTGCATTAGAACACTGTAGATGGAAATAACTGCAGATCAGTGCATACAGCCTAAAAACAATGGACTGAACAACCCAACCACAGAGCTCCGCCCAAGCTGTACTCAGTAGCCATACAAACTATTTCCGAGTGCACTTACCTTTTTCTTGACAAGACACAGTTATGTTAGTTAGCACTCTTACGCCATGAGCTGCGATGCCCCTGTTGCTATGGTAACAGCACTCTTGGGCTAATTTGACTAAATCTGAGGATCTGGGGGAAGAACCTACATTTCCTAAAAGAGATTTAAAAAGCAACACAGATTACAATTCATTCGTATGGTTCCAGAAAGCAGTTAGCTTGGAGGTTCAATTTTATGTTTTATGAGAAAATTTCTAGTAAGCAGCAAGTTAGCAGTGTTTTCTACCTTGACTCCATTAATAATACAACACTACCATTTCCTTTTCCTTGGTGGGGGTAAAGTAGAAGTGTGTCATCCACTTTTCAATGATTGTATTTTAAAATCAATACAGGACTTTCCCCATAAAGACATTAATGAAAATTGACCAAGAAACAGCATAGAAGCCAAGACAACTACAGGCTGCATCTCAGGAGCTGATGGCTTCTCATCCAAGTGAATAACCCCGTTGTCACCTTCCTGACAGATAAAGCAAGGCCAAAGAACACACTGCTTGCCTTTCCTTGCTCCAAATTGCTGGTTTTCCCTCAGAAGGCTAACATGAGAACCCACAACCACACAGTTGTCTAGCGTGCAGGGATGCTATAAGTCAATGCTGCTTTTACAGAAGAAACCTGTTCAGAGACTTTCAGTGGCCATCCATTGTCATGGTCATAAAGCTAGCTAACTGCATTAACTCTTCTACAGTGTCTCTTAGAATCAGAGTTCAAAGTCTGTGATGGAAGTCTTGCTCGACAGATACTTTATAAGGTTGAAGCTCTTGGTTACAAGTGGGTGAGTCGCAACAAGATTCAGACCTCTTGTGCCATTTTCGTTCCTCTTATGACTGTTGTCCACTTCAAACTGCCTCTCACACCAAGAACACCTTACTTCTTTTTTTTTTTTTTTTGAGACAGGGTTTCTCTGTGTAGCTTTGGAGTCTATCCTGGCACTCTCTCTGTAGACCAGGTAGACCAGACTGGCCGCGAACTCACAGAGATCCGCCTGCCTCTGCCTCCCAAGTGCTGGGATTAAAGGCGTGCGCCACCATCACCCGGCAAGACCTTACTTCTTGAGCATGAAGTTGACACTGTTGAAAATTACAACAGGCATGAGCCAAGACAGTTCCAGACATGTATGACGTATAACCACGTTCTGACAAGATGTGACATTACTAGTTAGGTAAAATCCTTGTGTTTGAAGATGGACAAAATATGACAAAGCTGAAAATACACAGCCAGTTTTTTTTTTTTTTCTGAATTATGGAAAATAAACCCCTAGGATGTAGCCATTCTTTTTCTTGCTCATGTGATGTTTTATAACTTGGTATTTTTTTCCTCTGTTAAAATTTACTATAAGAAAATTTGTGGGGGAGAGGAGCAGAAAAGTCCAGAGGAAACAGAAATTCCTCTAAGTCTCATAAGCCAGCATAAACTACCGTGGATATTTTAGAACATCCCTTTATGCATATCGGTGCAACCTGAAATCTTATATACCACAGGGTATACAGACAATGGCCCTCATCACGCTTTTAAGGCATAAGGCTTTAAATTTTTATTTTATTTACCTATTTTTGGTTTTCTGAGACATTGTCTCTTTATTTCTGGCTTTCCTGAACTCACTGAAATTCCCGACTCTGCCTCCCAAGTGCTGGTGATTATTAAAATTTATTTATGCCTGGTGATTTTTAAAATTTAAATATAATTCATTTGAAATAGTCTCCTAAGACAAAATCACAGGGTTCTAGAGGCAAGGATGCTAGCTGTCAGCTAAAAATCTAAGAGTAACTGATTTGAAAAGAATAATTAGTCATGCCTTAATCCCAGCACATGGGAGGCAGAGGCAGATAGATCTCTGAGTCTGAGACCAGCCTGGTCTACAGAGTGAGTTCCAGGACAGCCAGGGATACACAGAGAGACCCTGTCTTGAAAAACCAAAGAAAAACAAAAGAAAAGAATAATTTATTGGAAACACAGTGGGTAGCTGATGCACCGTTTATACAGAAAGTTATGACAATCTCTCCCATCCTGTGTGATTTTTTTTTCTGTTTCCTTTTTATAAAGGGTCACTTATTTTTTCACACTTAGCTGGGCTTGGCCATATGACAACAAATGAAACAGAATGGCTTTTACTGGCAGTGCCAAGCTCCTGAGAACAAGCGCTTGCCAGCTCCCTGAGAGTCAGAGGAGAAAGACACCTCAGGCACCAGCAGTTCTCAAAGGGTGGGTCGCAATCCCTTTGGGGGTTGAGTGACCCTTTTACAGGGGTCACATGTCAGACATTCTGCATCTCAGGTATTTACATTATGATCCATAACAGTTCTGAAGTAGCAACAAAGTAATTTTATGGTTGGGGGTCACCACAGCATAAAGAGCTGTGTTAAGGGTCACAGCATTAGGAAGGTTGAGAACCACTGCTCTAGACCATTACCATCAATGAGGTGACCTTTGACCACCCAGTTCTGTCAAGTCTCCAGAGGACTGTGGTCATGAGTGACTCTGGAGACACCAGGACCACTAGTGGAATCCAATTATAACCATTGAATGATGGAAGAAGAGCCACCGACTCTTACACACCTTGTTATACAGAATAGGTAACAGATAGCTCGAAGCTCACAGGATTAGTAGAAGGACTGCAACACTAAGGTCAGAATATGGATGCAGAGGCCCAAGAACAGCCAAGATCAAAACCCCCAGACCCATATGCAACCCACCCAACACACTGTGGCCTTATTGGTTCTAGGTCACAGTTCATATAGACACCCAGGGACCCACTATGACACACAGCCACCATGGCAGTTCTTTCCAGAAACCCAATGTCTCACGGTCACTGTCTATCACTACAATGGAGTCTCCCACTCTCCCAATTATTACTGGTTCCCAATTCAGTCTGTTGTGGGAACCTTTAGTGCAGACCACATACGGACCCGCACGGTAAGGAGGAAGTAGAATACCAAGAGTGCCATAGAAACATCATGCTTCCTACTTCCCATCAAGACACAGGGCAGAAATTCCCTTTATCCAGGAGACTCATTCCACTTAGTCATGAAAGGAACAAGAAAGTATACTTTGGACTTACTTAATTCCGTTCAAATTAACTGATTAGAAAAGGTAGCAACAGAGATGCAACAAAACTCTCATTAAAAGAACAAAAAAACCTTAGCCTTAAGTCTACTGGATAAGCAATCCCTTCCAGGTACTGACAAGGGCAGCTCTGATCCCAGCACACGCTTGCTTCTGTTACCATTGGTGCCAGTTAAGATGCCACCCTCAAGCAACCTTCCAACACACGACAGGTTCCCGAGGGGAAGCCTTCCCTGCTCACAGCTCACAGAGGAATCTGAGACAGGAGCACAGACAAAGGAGCCCTCACACTACCTCTGCTGTACCTGGAGCTGCACTGAAGTAATGTTTGATGGCGATGGTGCCTGACAGCGTGGACAGGACAGACAGCATCCCTAGTTTCAAGCTGTCGTAAGGAGTCTGGAGGGCACATTCACAGAGCGCCTGAAATGCAAAGGAGAAACGGACATCAAATTTAACACATCAACACAATTCTTATTTCTACACTCTCAAATGTACATCAAATTCCTTAGAGGACCCTCTGAAGATATGATAACCAGGCATAATGCAGTGCTCTTACAACAGAAAAAAGAACACGGGTAAAAACCAGAGACAGCACAGTGTGGTAGCAAGGATAACTTGATGGTATTAGTTCATTTATCTTTTCCTCTTTCTTTCTTATTACATCTTCCCAGTGCTGAGGTTAAACTCAGGGTCCAGTATATTCTAAGCAAGTGTTCTACTATTGAGCTCTGACTCCCACTCCATACTGGCCAATTCCTAACAAATGAGCTGTACTAATGTGAGTTACTGACAAGGGGAACTGGGTATGGGTGCTATCTTCTCAGTCATTCATGGAAAACGTGGCCTCTGGTTGTCTGGTCCTTACTCTGCCGACAGCAGCAGCCTGAGGTACTGCACAAACACGTCACAGGTCTTTTTTCACTGCAGGGTACCTGGGGCATGTGCCCAGAGCACAAGGATTCTACTTCATTCTGGGTAATGTGTGCTGTATCACAGGATGACTGTCTTGTTAAATTAAACTAATTCCTAAATTTCGCAAAATAAGCAAAACTTACAAAGAAAAATTAAAATAAAAATTTTGGAAATCATAAATGTAGTGCTATCCCAATAAAATCATTAATAGGATTTAGAACATCTAATTACAAATATTACATGGCCCTAGATCTTATTATATAGAGCAGTCTGGCCTTGAACTCACAGGGATCTGCTTGCCTTTGCCTCCTGGGTGCTGAGATTAAAGGTATGTGCTACTACTTCGGCATGGAAAATTTTTTTTTTTAAATCCAGAAAAATTCTGGCAAGAAATAGATGCAAATACATACTAGAATTTAAAAAATGCTAGTAACATTTCAAATCAGATGAATAATTTAATAAACTCAAAGGAACAACTGGCCAATCATCTGGATAAAATTAAATTCTTTTCTAATTGTTAACAAAAATTATTAAGAGTCAATGTGATACCAGGTGGTGTTGGCGCACGCCTTTAATCCCAGCACTTGGGAGGCAGAGGCAGGAAGACCTTCTTTGAGTTTAAGACCAGCCTGGTGCACACAGTGAGGTCCAGGAAAGCCAGGGCTACATAGAAATCCCTTAAAAAATAAAATCAACAAAGAAAGTCAATCGGGCGTGTGCTGAAGACACAGCTCCTCGGTTGGTAGTGTACATGCTCAGCACTCATCAGACCCAGGGTCCATCCCTAGCAGTACAGTCACTCGCGGGCGTGGTGGCGTGCACCTGTGATCCCTGCACTTGGGAAGTGGAGGCAGGAGGATTGGAAGTGCCAATCAGCCTAGTCCTTTTTATATCTAGTCCTTTTTAGAATAGCCTGGGTTATGTGAGAGACTGTTTTGACCCCTCCCACTAACAGAACAAGAAAACAAAAAAGGTCAATATGGAAAAACAAGAAGTAAAAATATAATTGACAAAATTACATCACATGAGATCAATAACAGGCCAGGCAGAGCGCATGAGGTTCCTGCTAATAATAAAACCCAAGGGAAATTAGTATAGACGTACCTTAAACTAATGTTTACTAGAAATGATTCCAACTGCTTCCAGTGAGGCTGGAACACAAAGGAAACACACACAGCTGGGAAGACCTCACCACTGTCTGGTAACAGGAATGTCCCCAAGGTGGACTATTCCTGTGTCTGAAGCGCCAGAGCGCGCACACGGTATATTCTCACATGTATGAGACAGACGGGCACAGCTCCTTGCATGCCAGTGGAGACATTTACACATTACCAGTCACCACCTCTGCAGAGGAAACCCATGGGAAGAGAAAAAGAACTGTGCGCCTCACTCACTGTCCAGCTTGAACTCTGGGAAATTACTATGTTCATGGATCCATTTTCAACCAAAAGAAAAACCTACTTAAAACAACAGCATCAAAAGCACTAGCTGGGAAGAGGAGCATGGGACCAGGAAGACTGGGCAGACTGCTGTAAGTGGGAGGAGCCTGTCAAGGCGTGCAACAGTGCAAAAGCTATGCCAGAAGGCGCCGTGCTCACCACACCTAAGAGAGGTGGTAACTGGACCAACACTTAGAGAGGAAGGACGGGGTCAGACCTCAGAGAGCGGAAAGAGTTTGGCAATGAAATTTAAACACAACAAGAGAGCTAGAGAAGGCAATAGATGGCAATAGATGGCAAAGAAGAGACCCCGGCAGGCAGTGAGATGGCTGACCTGCAGGTTCAGGACTGAGATGAGAGGTACCTGGGGCTGTTGGGAGGGGGATGCTTGGAGTTGAATCCAGCCCTGTGTGTGGCCACACACACTCAACACTGACTACATTAGAAAATAGGATGGGAATGAAAGATCCGATTAATATTAAAAAATTTCAAAGGTCAGATATTGAGTCCATTTATGTAGACTAAACAGTCTATGGGGAAGAGGAGAAACAATTTTAGAGGACGCACAGAGGCAGGAGACATGAAATCCAAGAAGCAGCAGCCATTAGACACTGGGAGTGTAAGACGTACTTACTAGGCCACATCACCATTCCGGTGAGTCTGTTTGACTGCCATCTGAGTCACAGAAATCTCTGAATTTCAACATCTTTACCTACAATGTGAGTCAATATTCACAAAGAACTGTCGGTTTTTACATAAAATATCTGTGGAAAATGCAGCATATTAAACACTGGTGGCCACTGGGCAAGGAGCTGTGTGGATAGCAGAAGCACATTGCTGGACACCTTCTGTAGTTTAGGAATTTTGCCACGAGCACATTAGCAATAGAAAAACTAAATCAGGGCTGGAATGTCGCTCAGTGGTAGAGTGCTTGACGACCACATATGAATACCACAAAATAAATAAATAAAATTAGAATTCAGAATAAAAGTAGATTGACATCTAATGTCTGTAGGATTGAAGCCAGTGTTCTACAACCTGAGAAACTATGATGTCAAAATTCACACAGGCTGACCTCAGCAGGCTGGACAGCCAGACACACTGGTATTGGGACCCGTCAGAACCACAGAACCTCGTACTGGACAAGGGGTGCAGGTGCAGAGGAAGCACAGGTCACAGAACGGAAGAGTGTGTGGCCATAACAGCTAAGTGTCAGGAAGCTGTGTCAAATGCACTAAAGAGCTAAAGCGACGAAGGCAGGAAAAGATGATTTAGTATTTCGAACACTCGTGGCTTTTTAAATTTCTTAACAAAAGTAACAGGGAAACAGATCTAAATGCAAATATGTAACAGAGAGGAAGTGATTTACAAATACTGTTTTTGAAGTTCAAATGAAAACTTTTAAAAGTGATCACTGCTTAAAACTATAGCTTTTATTTATTTATTCAAGTACTTAGACCACTTCTACTCATTTATTTTTTTATTGCCTAAACTGTCCTGCCCTGTACTCAACAGCTGTAGGTTAGGACTAATGTGCTATCGACTGGTGCCAGAGAGGATACAGACTACAGCTTTGTATCCAAGTTCTGCTTTAAGGTTGTCTGTGTATACAAGACATTTAACCTTTTGTAACTATTAACATGACAAGTGAGGCTTTTTTAAAAAAGATTTATTTATTATAATTCTCACCAGGATCATTTTTAATATCCACAGAAGGGTCAAACAAACCTCTTTCAATGGAGTCTCTCTCTTATTTGCCCTATCGCCTTCCTCCTGATTATCTGGTCTGAATCCCCTCTATTTCGGCTCAACTCCCTGCTCCAGCAGAGGCCCTCGTGGAATTGCTGTTTTTTGCCTCAGTCTCTAAATACAGGTTTCTTCTATCCTGACTGGGACTGGCCACCAGGGATGTGTTCCAGAAACTTTATAAAAAGATCATAGTCAGAGTCAGCGAGATGGCTTAGGAAGTAAGGGCACTTGCCACCAAGACTGATCACCTGAGTTCAATCCCCAGAGCCCACACAGTGGAAGGAGGTAACCTAATCCCTGCAAGCTGGCCCCAACCTCCACATTCCTGCCGTGGCATATGAGCTTCCCGCCCTGGCCCAACAAATAAACACATATTTTTAAAAGTTTACATTTCTTTCCTTTTTCTTTAAGTTTTTTTTTTTTTTTTGAGACAGCGTTTCTCTGTGTCCCTCTAACTGTCCTGCCACTCGCTCTGTAGACCAGGCTAGCTTCAAGCTCACAGAGATCCTCCTGCATCTGCCTCCCAAGTGCTGGGATTAAAGGCGTGTGCTACCAATGTCCAGCAAGGTTACATTTCTTATAATCCCATTTATATAGTCTATATAAAAAACTGTTTCAACTTTACTGTTATGTGCACATGTATGTGTGTGTGACGGTAAGATGGGCACGCCATGCACACATGTGGAGGTGAGAGGTCAACCTGGTAGTCTGTTCTCTCCTTCCTGGTAGTCTGTTCTCTCCTTCTTCCTTATGTGAGTTCTAGGGATTGAACTCAGGCTGTCAGGGATACAAGTCAACTCCTGTATGCACTGGGGCAGAAATCAAATTGGGTATTACCAGGGTTTGGAGAAAGATTGGCTGGCTACATACACAGATGTGAGGAAGCTTTGGGGTGAGGAAAATGTCCTGTGTTTTAGGTTGTGGCAGTGGTTAGAGAAATGAGTACGTGTATAAATTCATCAAATTGTGGACCCAGAAAGCATTGTATAAATAAGTTATACCACAATAAGTTTTGAAAATGCATTTCAAATTAATGGCAATGATAACATTACACAACATAATTTATGGGATATGGTCAATACTCAAAACAGGAAATTAATAGCTTTAAGTGTTTTCATTATTAAGCAAGAAGGATGAAAATAAAAAACTTAAAAAGCGGGGCTGGAGAGATGGCTCAGAGGTTAAGAGCACTGGCTGTTCTTCCAGAGGTCCTAAGTTCAATTTTAGCAACCACATGGTGGCTCACAACCATCTGTAATGAGATCTGGTGCCCTCTTCTGGGCATGCAGGCATATATGGAGGCAGAATGTATTCATAATAAATAAATAAATCTTAAAAAAAATACTTAAAAAACAAAAACAAAAACAAGAACAAAAAAACTTGAAAAGCACAAGAAAGCCAAGTTCCTTGCAAGTGAGTTGAGCCCAGTACAGGACACTGGGTGTGTATACTAAACCCATCCTCAGCACTGTCAAAATAAACCAACCAGGAAGAAAGGAGGCAACAGGAGGGTATACACTGATGGACAATATTAAGAACAAAGTGTACTATAAACTGAACATAATGAGCTTCAGAGACGACTTACAAGGAGGCAGAAGATACCCCAGCAATGACCAGAGTAATGGGACATGGTCTCAGAATGCTTCCTCCATAGTCTCAGACTACGGCACATCAGCCATGTCCTCAGGGAACAGAAGACTTGTGAGACTGTTTCCAGCTGCCACAGAGCATGGAAAGAAAAAGCACCCAGTTCACTTTAATAAGACTGTGTAGCCCCAACTCTAAAGTCTACCAACGTCCAGGAAAAGGAAAGGCCCCAAATTACCTTACCCATCACACAGCTCTTCAGACAGCCTGAGAAACACATCTATCTGCCTATAGCCAGGCGCTGGTGGTGTACACCTTTCATCCCAGAAGAGACAGAGGCAGGTGGATCTCTGAGTTCAAGGCCACCCTGGTACAAAGTGAGTTCTAGGACAGCCGGGACTACACAGAGAAACCCTGTCTCAAAACAGCCCACCACAGCCCCAGAAAGAAAAGAAAGAAAGAAGAGAGGGAAGGAAGCAGGGAGGGAGGTAAGGCAGACAGAGTCAGACATCACAGCACATGGCTGCTGCCAAATCTCTCCACTCCTGTGAACCCTCTGCGTCTGGTGCAGCTATGTTTCTGTTTCTGCAAACCTCTCTCGTTCTCATCCACATGCAATCATTAACTAAGATGAATTAACAGGGCTGGTGAGATGCTCAGTGGTTAGACACTTCCCCTCAAGCCACCATGGTGACTAGAGCTCAATACCTGGAACCCTCGTGGTGGAAGGACAGAATCAACTCCCATAAGCTACTATCCTCTGACCTCCACGTGCACACACACGCACACGCTCCCAAAGAGACGAACAGACAGGAAAATAAATGAGGAAAATCTGTGTCAGTTTTGTGTTTTCATGTCTGCTGTTTTTGTTAATTGTGTAAGTGTCTCTCTCTGTCCTTACTGCCCATGCACGTGGCATGCGTGGGTCAGGGGTCTTCTCTTGCTGCCCTGAGCATGTTGCGTGCGGGACTGGAGTTCCTCTGTCATGTGCCATGGGTTAGAGTCTGCTGTGGCAGAGTCCCCTGTCTCCAAGCACATGGTGAGGCTGCTGCTGTGGACTCCAACCTGGCTGGTGCAGGTGAGTCTATCTCTCCATCCTCACCTGCCCGTCTATGTGGCATGCAAAGTGGGGCTCTCTCTGCCCCAACTGCCATCCTGCCGCGGATCCTAGCATGTGGCAGGAGTTTCCCTGCCCTGAGCACATGGCTTGCAAGGCTACCATTTGCCGAGCCTTCTCTGTGCTCCACACATGTGGTATGCAGAATTTTGGGGCACATCCTTGCCTGACCTTGCCTTGGTCACTAGGAGGTCAGATGCCTGCCTCGTGGCAAAGAACCAATCAGAAGTTAGTTGGTGGTGTTATGCTTTACGTCTCTGGGTGTGCTTTACGGACAAGTGCACAGCAATGACGGGCAGAGCATAGCAATGGCCCTGGGGGTGGGGGGGTGGGGCTATGGGCCATAACCACCAATTGGCCAATCAACACAGGGCAAGCCACCCAAGCCTGGAGGCACACCAATCTTCCCCTTACACTGCGCTATAAGATCTCTATGCAGTGGCTTCTCGCCGTCTTTCTTAGCCATCCACCATGGTGGATGGATGAAAGTTCCGAGCTAACATGGGGTTAGCTTGTTAAACAGCCTTGTGCTGTTTGCATCAAGTTTCCGCCTCCAAATGGTGATTGGGGTCTTCGCAGTCATGGACCGAGATCCTGGGGGTCTGAGCCTCTTGGGGGGGGGGTCTTTCAATCACACTGGCCATGTCATATCCAAAACATCTCAGAGAATTACTTTTCCCTTCAGGAAACGAGACTCAAGTTTACTGATCCTAATGGCAACTCCATTTATGGAAGGCAAAAATCTAAAGCAGTGGTTCTCAACCTTCCCAACACTGCGACCCTTTAATACACTTCCTCATGTTGTGGTGACCCCCAACCATAAAGTAATTTTTGTTGTTACTTTATCAGTATAATTTGCTGTTTATGATAGTAATATAAATATCTGTGTTTTATCAGTATAATTTGCTGTTTATGATAGTAATATAAATACCTGTGTTTTCTGATGTTCTCAGGCGACCTCTGTGAAAGGGTCATTTGACCCCCACCCCCCCCAAAAAGGGATTGTGACTTACAGGTTGAGAACTGTCCTAGCACTTCCTTTTTTTCTTTTAAAAATATATATCATTGTGGGAGAAGAGGTAGGTGATGAAGAATGTCTTTCTGTATATATGCTTCTCTTACTGGTTGATGAATAAAACACTGATTGGCCAGTAGCCAGGCAGGAAGTACAGGCAGGGCTACCAGACAAGGAGGATTCTGGGGAGAGGACTCAGAGTAAGCTGCCAGAGAGATGCCATGTAGCTACCAGGAAGATAGGACACCGGGCATTCCCGGTAAGAAAAGGTCGTGTAGAAATACGTAGATTAATAGTTATAGGTTAATAATTAAGAGAGAGCTAGCCAATAAGAAGCCATTGGCCAAACAGTTTATAATTAATATAAGCCTCTGTGCTCTTATTTGTGACCAGGCGGAAAAGAAACTCTGTCTACAGGCAGGGGCTGCAGAGATGGCTCGCAGTTAAGAGTAACTTGCAGGGGACCTGTACTTGGTTCCGCACACTGGATGGTTCACAACCTCCTGTGTGTCCAGCTCCAGAAGGATCTGATGCCTTCTGGTCAAGGATGCCATCTGCACTCATGAGAACACATATTCAGATGCCAAATAAGCAAGACAATGTCTGATAACAGAGGGATTAAAGTATGCACGGCAAGATACAAGTTCACTAGGATTTTGTTCCGGTTTGAGTCTCTGGAGGTTTCATTTGTTGAAATGTAAACCAGACTGTGAAGTATTAGGGGCAATGGTGCCACCCTGGCTGGGGTAGCAGTATCTCTTTTCCTTAAGTACCACGTACCTGCATATTCTCCTTACTCCAGGTGTGTGGTGTCTTACTGGCAAGCAGCTTCAGATCCTGAACAGCGAGCCTCTTCACTGCTCTCCTGGGGTCACTCTTCAAATACTGCAGCAGCAGCTGGATCTACAGAACAGCAAAGTCACTGTGAACAGTGCATTCCCAAGACTGTCCTGGGGCCAGTGCTGCTTAATGAGACCTTCAGACTACAGGAGAAGACTCCCTTCAGATCCGAGCTACGGACTAAGGTTTGGACCCCTTTCTCCTGATGCACAAATGGTACGTTTGGCATGTAAGGCTCTACCAGAGGACCTGGCATTTCAGACCAACATCCTTTCTTTCCCACCAACAACACATCCTCCCACATACTGCCTACTTCCTGATGCTTCCTGTCCTTGGGGCTCACAAGACCAGTACTGTAAATATAGAGAAAAGAGAAACCCAACTGACCCTTATCAAAGAGACCATAACACGATTAAAACCAGGGTTACTTCTTATTTTTTATCACAAACTAAATATGCACATTTACAAATAGGCAGTAAAAGACAATGGAGATTACCTGTTTGGGTGTGTCAACCAGAGAGGAGGCTGCCAGCAGAGTGAAGGTGTGCAGAGACACAATGACCATTCTGGTGGAGGGGTAGGATGTGACCAGCTGCTGTAAGAGCTGGCGAGCACTGGAGGCCAGGATGGCGTCATGGTGCATGTGTTGCAGAATGGGGATGAGCTGCAGTTTCAGGTCCACTGGGGTGGCCAAGCCTGAACATGACAGACTGCTATATAACAAGGGTCTTATTAATTAGCAAACTTTCACTCAAAAACAATGAGTACAGCCGGGCTCACTCCTCAGCTGTGTGACTTTGAGCGGATCTCCACTGTGTGGAAAGAGCTAACCCAGAGCTGCCTTTAACAGATGCTGTAAAGATCACACAGATGAACACACGCACTTTGTTTCCTTCAGGTGAGACCAAGTCGTGATACAGAACTGGGACCTGATTTAGTCGCAAGTGGAAACCCTGAGGGAGGTAATCAAGCAGAGGTCCTTGCTCTGGGTTCTTCTGGCAAAGAATGTTACCCCTCTCTGCATGCCACGCCCTTTCCTTCCTTCTGGTCTCACTTCCTACCAGTTCTCTCTGCAGCACTTGACACGTCCTGTCTATGGCTCACTCGGATCCTGACTGGAACTCAGGCTACATGACAGAAAGGGCCTGGCTACATTTCTGTACCGTAAGCACCTCAGGCACTTTTAGCACATAGAAGATACTTGGTATTATTTTAAATACTGACTGGCACACAGTAAACACCTAACAAGCATGAACAACCATTATGAACAAAACTCCTATTAAGTCTCTTCACATTAACAAATAAAGGTACATACCTTGAATCATTTCACTGATTTTGTTACATATTCCTACAGCAAAATCCCTTTGGAAAGAGAAAATTGAAACAATTGGCAACATTGAAAACCAAAAAATTAAATGTGATTAAGTTTTATAAGTGCAAAGAACACAATTATCACAGAAACAATACTCCAAAATCATAACTAAGACTGCAGGCTCTGGCAGCATCTGCCAGTCCTGCATGGAGGGAGAGATGCAGACCTGTGGACGCTGCTTCCATCTGAGTCTTAGTAGCTCTGTCTAAAAGAACCAAGGCCACTACTACCACAAGCAGTAGGATTTACCTTAACACACAAGCTGTACTACATAAATAATAAATAGCCAGTCCCTAGCGCTGAAGTAGCTGAGATGCACTAGGAAATACAGATAGACTCTTCAAACACCAAACTACTTAGCTTCCTGATGCTAACAGAAATATCACCCAATACCAAAAGCTTAATACAGGTCAAGCTTTTGGGATACATGTTATATAATATGGGAGAAGATATAATCAAACTTGGCTTATACAGCCAAACTAAGTGATGTGCCAGGCATGAAGCACAATTTGCAGTTCAATGCAAGTCTAAATAAAGTTTTCCCTACTGCTAAGGTAAATTCTGCTGAATTCAAACCAACAGACAAGTTCTCTACACAATAGACAAGAGAGGCTTCATCTCTTGGTAGCTAATGCAATGTGTGCTTTCTTCTGTTTTCCAGAATTTCCTTTGTTATTTTGTGGTGCTGGGAATCAAACCCAGGACTTTGTACACACTGAGCAAGGTGTCTTCCACTCAGCTGCATCCTCAATCCTAGAAGTATCTTGGGTGATGAGTATGATATCTGGCTCAGTGTGCTGAATTCAAGTATACCTCTATTATCTTAGATTCCCCATCCTAACCTACATAGCCTTGCTATGTGCCAATCCCTCAGGATTTTGATATCATGAAGCTTTCCCTCTGTCAAAGCAAAAACACACCAAGGTGTACAGCACTATCACTCAAGGCTGCTGCCATCCCCCTAGAAGGAGGGACAGGCCCGGCCATGGCAACCTTACCTGAGTATCTAGCCACCACTCCCAAACAGTTGTATGCAATTCTGTCCTAACTGCAAGCAGGAAGGGGCTAGAGTGTATGCAGGAGGGGACTCTGTTATCCACACTGGATGAAGACTTTTCAGTGTCGCCCCTGTGGGGACACCACACTCCTGTAGAGTCCTCACCACGCTATGTAAGAAGTCAAGTAAGTAAGTGGCTCCTCAGGGAAGCTCTGGTGAAATGGAACTCAGGATTGTCTTTAGGAGAGGCAAATGGTGCCTAGTCTCACTAGGGAGAAACTTCTTGCAGTATACTTTGCCTTGCTTTGTGGTAAAAACTGTTTGGCCTATGGGAGGCCCAGGCATTACCGGTGAGCCAAGACTACATGGAGATACACAGATTAATAAAAATGGGTTAAAAATGAAGAGAGCTAGCCAATAAGAACCCTGAGCCATGGGCCAAACAGTTTCTAATTAATAAAGCCTGTGTATATATTTGTGACTAAACGGCTGCAGGATCCGGCGGGATAGAAACCTCCCTCTACAGGTGGTGGTGATCCACACCTTTAATCCTAGTGCTCAGGAGGCAGAGGAGGTGGATCTCTGTGAGTTCACACCCAGAGTCCTAGAAACTGGAGCTGAGGCAAGACAGTCCTAAGTTTGAGGTCAGCCAGGGCTACACAGTGAGATGCTGTCGCAGAGGCCCACACTGCCCACACTCTCAGCAAAAGAAAGAGTACAAAGAAGCCTCCTCTTCAGCACTTAGCTTTGGCCATTTGCCATCTCTTTAGAAGTCCCAACCAACAGACCTGCTCAAGCAGCCCACGGTGGCCACTGCCACAGAACCAGTTGCTAGTGTTCAGAAGAATAGCTACATATGGTGGACTGCTGGAACATGGTCCAGGAATGGAGCTGTGTGAGAATTCTGAGAATTCCAAGAAAATAAGACGTGAGTCTTGTGACCTCAGTGTCTTCAAAGCATGCACTTGTTCTGCAATGTGCTTCCATGCTCCTCCCAGGTGAAGCAGACAGGAATTGAGACTACTTCAAATTACTCATTATTGCTTGCTGTTGTTCTTCAATTAAATGCCTAAACTACCCTTTATCTGCCTTTATGGAAAAACATGCTTTCCCAAGTATGACTGATTCTTGTGGCTGAATACAGTTTGAACTCACGGGACTTTACTCAGGTGGCCTTCCTTAACCTTCAGCATATCAAGTGTGAGGAGCTCCAAATAAAGTTGTTTAATGCGTGAGACTTAGTTGATCTCATTTATCAGCTCCATTCTCCCAGGTCCCACCCATTCTAGAGCAGCGACTGTGGATATTAAGTAACTACAGTAAAGTTTTAAAAAATCTGGTTTAAGCCCTCTGTGCCCAAAAAATGCAGAATAGGAGCCTGCTGACTTTTCTTTTTTGGTCTAATAATAAATTCTCTGTGTAATATTGAAACTGCTGAGACTAAAGGGAGTCATCTGATGTTCTGGCTCAGTTGTACACCCACCCTGTCCCCATCAAATCAGGTCTGACAGGCAGGGCAGACACTCCTGCATCAAAACAGTGGGCTCATGCCCTTTCTGATGAAGCCAGGCTCTTTAGCTAGGGACTAGAACAGGACACCACCTGTAACTATGCTCACCTCATTCCTAAAAGCACCTGAGCTGGCCAATTCCTCCTCCTGAGCCAGGACAAGCTCTACCATACATGGTCTTGACCCTCTTAGGGCAAGGAGGATGCAGCTACAGTAGCACAGATGAAGTCAGTCCCCCTCCTCCTCTTCTCCAGACTCTGCAGCTCTGGATGGCCTGGAACCTGCCATGTAGCCCAGGCTGGCCTTGCACTCACAGAGTTCCATCTGCCTCTGCCTTCTGAGTGCTGGGATTAAAGGTGTGTACATCTATGCCCGGTCAGATAAAATAGTAAGATATCATCTTGCTAGTCACTCTGATTTCAGCAAGACCTAGAACTGACAGAAACAGTACAGAGCCACCAATGTTGGTGGAGATACAAGATCTCAAGAAAAGATAAAAAACTGGTCTAAAAATTACGTATTTTCTTTATTTACACTCTGATACATAAGTGCTTCAGGATTTCCTATTAGACTAATCTGGTATTATATAATGCAGACACAAGTATATCTTACCGAGGACAGTGTTATACAGTAACTTCCTCTGAACTGAACCATTCTGTCCTTAAGACTACTTAAGACTCACAAAATCTACAACGCTCAGGAGGCACAGAACTGACAAGTGTCAAGAAGTTCCTGAAACTCAGAAAATTCATAAGCACACATCAAGGTCATACAAGCAGAACTTGCTGGATCTCCTACTGGCTCAGAATGCTAAGGGTTGCAGCTCTCCTGAGTCATCATCATCCATGCTTGGGGTTGCAGCAGCTGAGGCCCCTATGATCTTGTAAGAAATCCTTCACTCATGCACTTACACACAACCCCAATGAGCTCCTCAGTGAAACATTTTTTGTTTGTCACCAGTGTCTTAAATGGGGTGAATAAATGCTCACCTAAAAATGATCCTCATAAATAAATTTAATCACTAAATTGTCTACTTACCCAAATAGACAGATGAACTTAGAAAACTGCTTTTGGAGACCCTGGATGTACACAGTTACTATGGCAGCATTAATCAGATGGTGACTGTCACAGCACAGTTCCTGTGCCATACAAGCTCTTGCTGTATCAGTAACTCCCTCTCAGTAACAAAAAAGATGGGGCAGGAGGTTGGTCAGCAGTTCAAAGTGTTTGCTGCTCAGTTCCAAAGGAACTGAGTCTGGTTCCCAGCATCCACGCTGAACAGCTCAGAATCATCTGAACTCCAACTCAAGGTAGCCAGCCTCTCCTACACACACACACACACACACACACACACACACACACACACTCCACTCCCCCCCCCCCTCTCTCTCTCTCTCTCTCTCTCTCTCTCTCTCTCTCTCTCTCTCTCTCTCTCTCACACACACACACACACACAGATAACAGTGTAGCATACAACATCCTGAATATGTCAGCCAGTTTTATTCCAAGTAACTCTCTTTGGCAGATTGTGCAGAGTCTCAGGCTAAACCGCTGAGCAGTAGAAGACAATCAGAAACTAGCAATTTTGGATCACGGATGTGTTTGTGGAAGGCTCTTCAGTAGACATCAAAGCTATCAATGGCAGCTTCCCAAACCAGCCTACGAGGACCTTGTCTTTTTGGGACCAATATTTGTATTTTCTTCTCCTAACATGGTTTAAGACTTCTTGGAAAATACTCTCATCATTTACATGTTTCCATGTTCCTTAATGACTACAGGTATTGATTAGTTATTCTTTCAAAAATTCCCCTGGGAGCAAAATTACTAAAAGGCCCAGGCTTACTTCGACTGTGCAGAGAAGTTCGCAGCTGCAAAAACAGCAGCTTCCACTTCTACGTTATCGTGGGAATCCAAACTCTGTCGGATACTGTGATGGGCATTCTTCCTCTCAGGGATGATTGACGCCAGACTTCCCAACATGCTACAGAAACAGAGAAACCCAAGATAGAAACATAGTGAAGCAAATGAAGGCATGCTAGATTAGCAACTCAAAAAGCTTAGGTCATTCTATAAACTTCAGGTTAAGAATAGTTAACTTTAGGAATCCAGCATGACTCAAATCCAAGCACACCATAGTACATTAGGAATATTAAAATAGCTCACTTAGCATAAGTTAAATTTCCTCTCCCTTTCCCACCTCCTTCCCTCCTTTCTTCCTGACCCAGGGACTGAACTCAGAGCTGTGGACCTGCACTGCCCTCTGACCCAAAGAAGAATGTGAAGTACATCTCAGGTTTTAGAGCCCAGAAAAGAGCCTTTCTGAGTGATTATAGCATCTCAGTATCAATTTCCCAGCGTTGCATAAGGAAGTCCACTTTAACAAAGTATTAAGAACACAATGTATCTGCCATCAAGCAGAATCACAGAGCACAACAGACTTCCCAGCTTCTTTATTCCACATCAATAAACACCAGCATGATGCTTTTTTAATCTACCACATCAGGAGAAGATTTTTCCAGAAGTGGAGGATGCCCCCTGCAGTCAAGCCAGTATCTGCACAGTGAGGAAAGTAAAGCAAAGAAAACACAGGGGCCAGAGACAGCTCTGTAGGGAGACACCGTAACCATGCCTCCAAAGGGCTGGCTACAGGTGTGCCTGTCAGGTCGTGGTCAAGGTGAGGTCAGGATGATGCGTATTAAATTCTTAAGTGGCTGCAGGCACATGGGAGCCCCTCTCTCTGGCCTGGCTGCCTTGCTGCCCTGGCTCGCTCTGGCTTGCGTTTGGCTGGTATTTATCTGAATAAAGATATCTTACATATGGACTACGGATCAGCTTTCGCTATACAGCTCAGTGGGGACCTCCGCCACGCCTGCCAACCTGAATTCAGTCTGCAGCACCCACTTGGTGGAAGAAAAAATTGAATCCTGAAATCTATCTTCTGTCACTACACTAAATTGTAAGCCAGGCAGTCTTAGCCACACCTTTAATCCCAGCACCTGGGAGGCTGAGGCAGGCAGATCTCTGAGTTCAAGACCAGCCTGGTCTACAGAGTGAGTTCCAGGATAGCTAGGGCTGTTACACAGAAAAACCTGTCTCGAAAAAAACAAACACACAAACCCCCAAACAAACAAACAACCCTCTCCCAAATGCCATTCACATGGTGTTATTTATATCAAAAACCATGTTGTGGCAGTCCATCAGTGTGCTGGGACAGGAACAAGTCTCTGTACCTGAAGTTCTCTCAGGCCGACCAGACCATAGCTCCTGAATTAGGAGTTCAAAACTCGAACATAATCTTTTTAGAATTATAAAAATGATTTCTTTTCTTATCTAAAAATGTTTATCGAGTGTGTGTGTGTGTGTGTGTGTGTGTGTGTGTGTGTGTGTGTTCCACAGCACACACATGGAGGCCAGAGGGCAAGCTATCAAATCTTCCCACCATGTGGGTTCCTGAGACTGAACTCAGGTTGTCCATCAGGCTTGGTAGCAAGTGCCTTTACCTGATGAGCTATCTTGCTGGACCTACTTTTTTTCTTTTTAAAAGCAGAGCACTTTGAGAACCTTACCATACAAACTGAAAGACAATGCACAGCAGTGAGCTGCTGTGAGCAGTCACAGCTTGGTTAACTGGTTTCCCACTGCCCACGGCGTCAAAGTATCTTTCTCTTAAGCATACAGCATTTGATGTATACATAAAGAAAAAAGTAATGCTGAAACATAAACTAATAAACACAAAAATGAAAATGATTTTGCTCCTAGCTTTTGGCATCTGGAAGAGTTCTTTATTTTGTATGTGATACATAAAATAGTCTGGTATGAAAAAGGACTGGCATGCAGGATACCAAAAGACAAACAAACCCCAAACCACCAAACCTGCAATCTATAATAAAACAGTGACATCACAAAACCCTAAACACTCTTAACAAAGGAGAATGGACAAAATCAGGAGCAGAGACTTTATGACTGGCCAAAGGCACATGACCCAGTGCTCCAGACCACTACATCAGGGCAACAGAAACTTAACCCACCACACACCTTTAGAGTGGCTAAGAGCTAGAACACAAACAAATAAATATGACCTATGACCTGTGATTTTTAACTCAGAGGGGTGTGTACTTATCAGAAGAGGAAGCATGTTCACAAAAAAACCTTATACAAGAATGTTCAGGGGGTGCATGCCTTTAATCTCAGCACTTGGGAGGCAGAGGCAGGTGGATCTCTGTGAGTTCGAGACCAGCCTGGTCTACAGAGCAAGTTTCAGGACAACTACACAGAGAAACCCTGTCTTGGAAAAAAATGTTCGTGGGAGATAGCTCAAGTGGCAGAGTGATTATCTAGAATACCTGAATCCCAGGGTTTGCGGGGGGGGGGGGGGGGGGGGGGGGGGGGGGCAAAGCATAATCAGCAGAGTTGTGCATGCCTATAACCCCAGCATGGAGACAGGCAGGAGGACCAGAAGTGCACACTTGTCTTTGCTACAAAGCCACCTTTGACATGAAGACAGTTTGGGATGCATGAGGCTCTTTCTGTAAACAAAAAGAAAGAATGCTGGTAGCAGCTCTTTAAGAACATGGACTGGATGGGGCTGGAGAGATGGCTCAGAAGTTAAGAGCACTGATTGCTCCTTCAGAGGTCCTGAGTTCAATTCCCAGCAACCACATGGCGGCTCACAACCATCCGTTATGAGATCTGGTGCCCCCTTTGAGATCTGGTACCCTCTTCCGGTGAGCAGATATATACATGGAAGCAGCATGTTGTATAAATAAAATCTTAAAAAAAAAAAAAAAAAAGAACATGGACAGGTAACAATGTAGGTGTTCTTCAAGAGGACAGACTGCCAAACTAGGTTATAGCTACACAATGCTAAACTACTCAGCACCAAAAAGGCACAAATCTGGAACAGTGCACACCTGTAACTCCATGGAAGGCTGAGACAGGATTAGGAGTCCCAGGTGAGCCTGGGTTACACAGGGAGAATCAGCCAGCTTGCCAGCACCCCAACAGGAAGTAAAGGCATGTGCCACCATCACTCAGCAAGCTGGATAGTTTCTTAAAGGTAATACTCAAGAACATTTTTTTTTCTGGTCTCATATAGTTCAGGCTGGTCTTAAACTGATTGTGTAGCTAAAAAGACCCTGAACCTCCTGCCTCAGTTTCCCAAGTGAGGGGATTACAGCTGTACACTACCACGCCCAGTTTCATGAAGCTCCACGAAGCTGGGAATTGAACCAGAGCTTCAGTACGGCCGGGTAAGCACTCTTACCAAAACAGCTGATCTCCAGTCCCAAGAACTGACTTTAAAATATCCCATGATGTTCAGCTTAATCAAAAGGCAAAGGAATGACAAAGCAACTAATTCTGAACAAGAAAGTACCAATGCCTGACCCAGAGAAAGGAAAACTCCTTGAAGGGAAAGCCAGAAAGGAAACTGATAATTTCATTAACCGAGTTGCAAAAACTCCTCCCAAATTGTGTGATTATACAAGCAGAGTTGAAAGTGAATAATGACAGGCACGGTGGCATTGACAAGGAACCCCAGCTACTTGGGAGGCTAACATATAAGGATCCCAAGTCAGTGCCTGCATGGGGAACTTCAAAAGTTCAGAAGAGCCAAGGCTGTTCTGAAGCCCACCTCATTCTTGGATTGGAGCTCCTACATAGTAGGATGTTTGAGACACAGCAAGGCAGTTTACAACCAAAATAGCATTATAGATGTTAGCCTGGATTGACAGATAAGGATGATTGCCAATTGTCTGTAGTCTTAGTGAAAAACAAGCCCCTTTCGCTACATGACAGTGACACAGTACCGAAGAGTGATAGCTCTTGCCACAGGGTCATTACTGTGAATCACTGAGAACACCCTCTTCACAAATTCGTCCACGTTTAGAATCTTCTCCAGGTGCTTCTCACTTTGCTGGGTCACTTTGAGAACACACAGTCTCAGGAAGTTGTTTCTAGAAAATAATGGAGAAAGAAATTAACTCACTAAAGAAATTTCTTATGTTACAGGGTCAGAGCAGTACCATCTCCAAACGCTTTTCCTGCTGTCATTATCTGTCTCAACGCTAAGCCGCTTAACTGTATGCGGTGCATCCCGAGCACGGGCAGCTGAAATATCTGTAGCACTGCTGTAAGATGCCTAATGGCCAGGCCACATCACGGCCACACCCAGGGCATCGAGTGACCCCCCCCCCACTACTTTCCTCCCTCAGGTCTGCCCTGACAAATATATGGGCACATGACTGTATAGAGGGGAGGAGAAACAAGTGGGTGAGGTAAGAGTGGGGCAGAAATGAGAAATGGGCATTTAGTCAGTGCTTACAGGGTTCAAAAACTGCAAACATGCATCTCATGTTGCAAATCACTAAATGAAATCAGGAATTTCTTAAAACAATTTGAAAAAAAAAAAAAAAAACCCTACAGATTCTAACAAGATATACATACAGTAGTAGACAAGGTTGTTGTTTTAATTTCTTGTTGTTCCCTAAGGAAACAATTCCTCTCTGAACCTTACTTTTCATTTCTGCTAGAAATGTCACGAAATCATACACCCGTGTGGTGCAATGCAATGCGCCCACCAGGAGCACCTACGTGGCCAGAAGCCCTAATGGCCAGAGAAAGACAGTATAGAGCCGACTTACCCGACTCTGAAAACATCAGCTAACTTGAGGAATGCTGAGTTGATGAGAATAGGGAATGGGTACTTCTGGAAGAGCCTAGGAAAGCGGACAACTGCTTCACACTGTTCCCCGAGTTTGCCAGACCTCAGACCTATTGAGAAATCACAGGAGGAGCTCATTACAAACTTGTAGCAGGCAGAAGCATTAAACCCTGCCTCACACAGTTACAAGAGAGCAGTTAGTCAACAGCTGAGAGAAGCACCTCTCTGACTCCTGTTCAAAACTAAAAATGGAAGGCTGGGCAAGATGGAACACGCCCACAAACCCGACTCTCTGGAGGCCGAGGCAGGAAGATTGCAGTTCAAACAAAATAAAACAGTTAACAATAAAAAGGGCACACAAAACCATTATTTGGAGTCTGGGCATGGTGACACATACCTGAGATCACAACACATGGGAGATAGAGGCAAAAGAATCAATTCAAGGCAAGGTGGTGCTAGTGCACACCTTTAACCCCAGCACTCAGGAGGCAGAGGTAGGAGAATCTCTGTGAGTTCGAGACCAGACTGGTCTACAAGAGCTAGTTCCAGGACAGCCTCCAAAGCCACAGAGAAATCCTGTCTCCCCCCCCCCCCTCAAAAAAAAGAACCAGTTCAAGGCCATCCTCTGCTAAGTTTGAGGCCAGCCTGGGCTACATAAGACTGTCTCAAAACAAAGTAAAATACAAATAAGTGCTTAATATAAAACTGCCCCAAATGTAAAACAAAATAGCTCCCAAACAAACACTTTAGTATTTTCACAAACTAACACTCTCTTTTTTAATTTAGCTTTTTTTTTTTTTATTTCCTGTGTACAAGTAAGTCAAGTACATGTGAGTGGCTGCAGAGGCCAGAAGACGACATTGGATCTCTGGGGCTGGAGTTATAGGTGGTTGTGAGCCTCCCAACTTGGGTGCTAACAACCTAATTCAGGTCCTCTGGAAAAGTAGCAAGTGCTTTTAACTGCTGAGCCATCTCTTGAACTGATTCTCTTAGACACACAGTAATGAAAAAGAAATAACCTTTAAAATGCTTTAAGTTGACTAAACCAATTCAGGAATATAAAATATCAATGAATTTAAAAGAACTGAAGTCAGACAGTCTTGGTAGTATACACCTATAGTCCTAGATACTCAGGCTGAGGCAAGAGGCTCACAGTTAAAGGCTAACCTGAGCTACAGAGCATGTGCAAGGCCAGCTGAAGCAACTTAGTAAAATGCTGCCTCAAAAAAGGGGGCGAGGGACTGAGGACATAGTTCAGTGGTAGAGCACTTTCGGGGCACTCTCAGAGCCCCAGGTACAATACCTGGTACTACAAAAAAAATACAACAAGCAAGCAAAAGATACACATAATTTATGCTCTTCATCACAATGAAATTGAATTATCAATCAGAAAGAGAACAATATCTAGAAACTTTCCAAGTATTTGGTAATCAAACAATGTATTGCCAAGTAACCCACCACAAGGGAAAGAACAACTCAAAAGAAGAAAATTTATTTTCAACTGAATGAAAATGCCAATGCAGTTTGTGGGTCATGGGTGACGTAGAATTTCAAGGAACAATTACAATATCAAATACTCATGTTCGGAAAGAAGAGACTCCAATCAATAATCTATAACCTAACAAATGTGTTGTGTGATATTTTGTGTTCTGACAAATAAAGCTTTCTTGGAGTCAGAGGGCAGAGTTAGCCACTAGTTAACCATAGAGATCTGGAGGTCTGTACAGAGCGGAGACAGGAAGCGATAAGGTGGGACGGAGAGGGGATCCAGGCCCCAAAACTTTTGGTTGGAGGAACCAAAGAGGCAGGAAGCAACTGTGACTGCTGCTCCGCTTCTCTGATCTTTTTATTGGTAAGATTAATTAGATTTACGCATCACAAATGTACCAATATAGCTGAGGAGCTCTGAATAAAAGTGACCCCCCATAAGCACATGTTTGAATGCTTGGTCTCCAGCTCGTGGAAAGATCGGGAGGAAGTGTGCACTGGGGTGGGCTTTGGGGTTGACCCAACCTTTCCCTCTGCCTGCTATCTGTGGATATGGATGTAACGCTCTCAGCTCCTGCTCCAGTGCCATCTATACCTGTCTGCTTCCTGCCATGACAACAATGGCCTATCCCTCAAGAACTATAATCAAGCCTCCAATTAAATGCTTTTTTTAAAGTAAGAGTTGCCTTGGTCACGGTGTCTCTAACAGCAATAGAACAGTGACTAAACTCAATGTGGAAAGAACAACCTGATTTTAACACTGATTCTAGAAATATTAAAAACACCTAAGGAGGGGGGAAACGAATCTTGACCTTGGCCTGCACTATACAAACAAACAGTAACAAAAATCTGATGCTAAACAAACCTAAAACATAAGCCCTATAATTACAAACTTTTTGAGTTTACTTCTTTGCATTTGTGCATAGGGTGGTTTGCCAGCATGTGTTTATGTAGCATGTGCTCACAGTGCCTGCCCACAGAGGCCATGAGAAGGCATCAGAGTGTGAGCTGCATGTAGGTGCTGGGAACTGAACCAGGGTCCTCTGAAAGAGCAGTCAGTGCTCTTAACTGTTGAGCCACCTTTCAAGCCCCATAAACTCTTTTTAAAACAACATTTGTGGCTGCTCTTGGCTACTAAATCTGAGTATTAGGCGAAAGCCTGGAGATTTGGATGAACCACAAGACTCCTGGTCCACTTCTGAGAGAATGTCTCTCCTTTATTGAGGCACAGCCTTATATACAAACTTACAAAAACCCCAGGTCAAAGGGTTCACAACAGGATATTGATGCCAGTGGGGTGAGGTCAGGAAAACAGGAGGTACCTGTGGTTATGCTGGAAAACAACTCTTAGAGACCCCATGGGAACTGGGTGCCAACAAACATAAATGTCAGATAACCACATGTTGGAATTTCTTAGCTGAAATCAGCAAAAGCTACCTGGTTGGCTATGCAGTTAACCTTCTAAACGTTTTTTAAGACTAAACTTCTTGGTTTTGGATTGTTGGGGCATAGACTTGTTTTTCAACCCTGTCTGTCCTAGAACTCACTATGGATGATCTCAAACTGCAAGTGACTATCCTACTCTGCCTCCCTGGGCCCTGGAGTTAGAATATGTCACCACACTTGGCATTTAAGAGTACCAAACTTCCAAGAATACCTAACACCACACTGTCAAACTAACTGGATGAGGGCGTGGTGTTGCTAAGAAACAAGAGAGAGATGCTACTACAGTGAGCTATGGCACAGGAACTGTGTACACTTGTGAGCTTTTTCTCCTCAAATCTCCAGATGCTAAATAGAAGCAGGTGTCTGACTGGCAGGGCCTAAATAAGTCAGATGCTATTCTTGAAAGACAAACTTAAGTTTTCACTTCCACCTTTGTGAGAAGGGACTCATATGGGCCACTCTTCAAGCATAAGAAAATGATTCATGAGACAGAAACCACTAACACAACTAACATTCACTTAAAACACCACAATTGGAGCATTACCATGAACAAACATTTCAGAAAATCATTGTCTACAGTTTCTTTAGCTGAGATGACCATGATTCAAAATTGAATCACTAACATGATCTCATTTCATATATTCATTTTTTCAAGGTGCTTATGCTGTAACAGGAGTAAAAATACAAACCCAAGCACCACCACACGGGGCTAGGATAGAGTAAAGCAGCACACATTGGGAACAAGACCCCAGCACCACAAAGAAATGCACCAAGTACAACCACAAAACAGAAGGCAACCCGCCACCTACAGCTTAGTAAATGGTAACAACAAAGGCCACTTCACAATGAAAACACAGAAACAGAAACTGCAGTCAAGTTATAACGTAATTACTAATTATCCTTTCCCAAAACTCCAGAAACCATTGCAAATGAGCACGCTAACATATGATAATGTAGTGTGTATGTGTGACGGCACCGGTTTAGAACAAATAAGAACTTTTGAGACTGAAGAGATCAAAGTCATAGAAAAGTGAGGCTGTGATTTCAGTAAGTGCAGAAAAGGGACCTCAGGATTTCTGATTAGATGATCTAGTCCAGCAGCAGAAGCAGCTGACCGAGACTGCGGGCTCAGTGGTGAACCAGTTACTGAACCTAGCCTTTGCCCAGTTCTACATAACTTTAAAGGATCTCTTGTCAATGCGGTAGACTCAACTTAGTCTGGTAGTAAACATTACCAAGAAAAATATCCCAAATCTGGATGGTTCACAAGTCTATTCCCCTCTCCCACCCCGACAGGGTTTCTCTGTTTAACAACTCTAGCTGTCCCAGAACTCACAGAGATCTGCCTGCCTATGGGTGTGTGTGTGGGGATTAGAGGCCTGCACTCCCATACCAGGCTGCTCACCTGTCTCCTCGTAAACCCACCCACTATGACATGGAGTCAGTCACCTGGCATATATTCAGCGGCTGAAGCCATTCTCTCAGGGCCGTGGAGTTACATCTCGCTAACCCTAACACCAACTACGTTCATGACAACATGGGCAGTACAGTCTTTTTCACAGGGAAATCCTAGTGAGTGGGTTCTGCCCTGACTCTCACCCAGTTCTCAGGGTTTAGTTAGCCCTCCATGAGGATTTTCACCTGCCTCTCCAGAAGCAACCCATCCTCTACAACCCCTCCCTTCCCCACTTCCTCCTCATCCTTTCCAAAGCCAACAGGTTGGGTGATGTCACTTAACCTGTCTCTGTTGGAAAGGAGATCTGGCTTGTTTTCATCTGGACAACTTCCAATCAGCTGAGGGAGAAAGTCCTTGGTCTGATAAGAATCTACATCATGGAAAGCTATACTTACTAGAGTAATATGTGAGACTCTGCCCTTAGCAATGTCTCCCGGGCCCAGAAGTGCCCGTCTGTGTCATGCTGCTCTGCTCCTGGCTTGGACACTGGACCTCTCTGAACTTGAGGCTCACCTGTGAAACTTGCACCATTTACTTTTTACATGTATGTATTTCAACTCTTCTTTTCAGGATTTTTATTTTCAATTATGTGTATGTGGGGGGGCAGGAGTATATGTGCAGATTCCCTGGAGTCACAGGCACAGGAGAGGTATGTGATGTGAGAGCTGAGAACTGAACTCTGGTCCCCTGCAAAAGCAGTGTGGCCTCTTAAAGGCCAAG